GTGGGAGGACTCCTAGCGGACAAAAAATCGTTGTGTTAAATGAATTTTTTATGAAACAAATAAAAAAATTTTATTAAATATCAATTATATACGAATGCGTTGAAAAAAAATCGATAATTATAGGTTGTAATATCTGAATATTTTTTTTACCTTCCAAGTTGCATATTGTCTAGGTTTCTGAATTATTGTAGCTTGCCCGACGCTACGTTCTTCGGTACGAGCCGTTTTTAACAATTTTCTATTTTTAAACGCAACAGATAGAAGTAAGCTTAAAAGCAATCATCATCGAATATTTTTCAACGTAAATTATACCCCCTTTATTTTTTTCGCGAACACTCCCTTTAAACACGACTGAACTGATCACTGCTTAGTAATTGGCCGGAAAACAAGTTGGATTTTATTTTTTATGTTTTACTTCAATATGTACAAGAGGATTGCAAGAAAGGCTAACATTTCATCAAAATGATGGAATAGGACACAGTATAAAAAAATAAAAAATAGACAGTTTTGCATTTCTTCACACAAGTTATCTTTCCTAAAGTTTTGTTTTATTTTCTATTTTTTTCTATTTGTTCTCTACAAGATTTAAGGTTGTTTTTCTCAATATTTTATGATTGAACTTATTATAGTTTGTTAGAACAATAACACGTCCCGCCCTAATCCAACATTTTTCAGGAATTCTATCAACTCTATCTTAATCTCTATCAACTCTATCTTAAATTAATCTTGGATCAAAAAGAATCCTTGCAAGCTAGTATAAATAAATTGAGCCAAGACTAATCAGCTGACTAAGGATGAATCTCAAAACGAAAATAATACCTTTTCTTCAATCATAAATCAAATTATAGATATTAAAAGATATCCCGTCAGGGGCGGATACAGGGGGGGGCAGGACCTTTGCACCCCCCCTGAGATTTCAGAATAGCTTCTCAACCTAGTGCAAAACAGAAAAAAATATTTATCCTAAATCTGGTGTTTTTTTAATAAATAAATCTAGCACCCCCCTCAATTCTTTGTCTGACCCCCCTTCCTCCTTCTCTCTTAATTTGTCTACCCCCCCCTCTCCTCCTTCTCTCTTAATTTTTCCACCTACCCACCCCTTCTCTTACTTTGTCTACCATTTCTTTTTGCCAAATGCCTTACTCCAACAAATTCTTTTAAGTCTGTATCAATCCAAATACCCGCTCTCGAACTCTATATTCTTCAGTAATACTTAAGTCTGTATTGTTCAGATACAACTCGCTCTAGAACTCAATGTTCTCCAATAATACCTAAGTCTGTATCAATCCAGATACAAACCTCTCTCTGTATTCTTAGTATGTATTGTTCAGATACAACTCGCTCTCGGACTCTATGCTTTCTATACGAGAAATTATACGTTTCTAAACGTAATAAAGCAAAGGCCCAACTAATCAATATTTTGTTATGGTTTTTCCACTTTATCAAAAAATTCTATATAAAAAAGCGAAATTCTAATTGCTCATTTCATATTGCAGAGCAAATTAATTAAGAAAAAGAAAAATTAGTTTTGATCTTAATGAGAAAAAATGCTCTTTATTAGACGTCAAGTTTTTATTGTAAAAAGATATATATAAAAACCGAATTGTATAAAATGAAAAATACTTAATTTTCAATTAGAACAGATTAAATGCTTGTATGTTTCCAAATTTTTTTTAATCAAATAGTTCAACCAAAATCGTAAAACTTTACTTTTCCAAAAAAAATGTCAATATGATTTTTGTTTGATACAGTAGTACACGATTATATCAATATATATCAATACAAGTTTACAAGTAATCTTTTTTTACTTGACAGCTTCTCTTGACTTCAATGTTTATGTGTGTCCATGCTGTTTAACAGATTGATTTAAATCAAAATTAAAATAGAGAGTAGTCCTCATTGTATTGAAATAATAGAAAGTAGTCCTCATTGTATTGATATAATAGAGAGTAGTCCTTATTGTATTGATATAATAGAAAGTAGTCCTCATTGTATTGATATAATAGAGAGTAGTCCTCATTGTATTGATATAATCGAGAGTAGTTCTCATTGTATTGATATAATCGAGAGTAGTCCTCATTGTATTGATATAATAGAGAGTAGTCCTCATTGTATTGATATAATAGAGAGTAGTCCTCATTGTATTGCTATAATAGAGAGTAGTCCTCATTGTATTGATATAATCGCCTACCACTGTAGAAAAAAAAATATTTAAATGTCAAGTTTCAAATTGAAAAAGAAATTCAAAATTTAAAATAATTTTAATAAAATTCTTTGAGAGTACATATTTACATTAACTTGCCTTTTCATCTTTAAAACTTAAGACGAATGTAATTTAAACTTTTATGATTTGAAAAATTAGAAAAGTTGTTGATGGCACATTTTTATTAGTTTTTACTAAATTAGAGCTTATTAAAGGGACTGTAAGCGTAATCTCAAATGACCTTCCAAGCAAAGTTGTTGATGGCACATTTTTATTAGTTTTTACTAAATTAGAGCTTATTAAAGGGACTGTAAGCAAAGCTGGCAAAGCCTATAAATTGATGAAACATAAATCTGATCAGAAATGTGGAAGATAACGTCATTTTTCTAAGTTTGATTTTGATAATTTTGTATTTTTTAAGAACAAGTCACTTTTGAAGAGATGCCACAAAGAAGTATAAACAAAAGATGGAAATCTAAGTTATATTTGATCAGAAAAATCTTTTATGGGTACTGTTGTAAATCGGGCATTGCACTCTTTGTATGGAGGGTCACTAGAAATTACGCTTACAGTCCCCTTAAAGAGACATTTGATTGTTAAAATATTTCAACAGTATTTTTGTTTCTTTCTTTTAATAAATAATTCGGAGAATATTTTTTCACATTCATTAATTCTTTTTTCAACCATTAAGAACAATAATCAGTTATTAACGATACAATTTAGGGTGAAAGAAAAGGTTTGTGGGATAGAAAACCATTTATATTCTTGTATAAAAGATGGGTCTGAATATGGTAAACATCGTTCATCATAATACAAATAAAAGAAAAAAATTGAGTCATTTCCAAAAACTCAAATTTTATAATCCTTTTTTTAACCAACCTGATATTTCTATCTGCAAAGTTCTTTAATCTATCAGATTTTAAATATCTAAGGTCTACGTCATTGCGTTGCAAAGATTTGAAAATAGTGGCAAAGACTCCTAAAATTTATAACCTAAGATTATGCTTTATGAAATTTTAGAATGGAATTTCTAAAAACAGGAAAATAACAAATATTCGGATAAATTTAGAACGAAGCCAAAATTAGCTGACTTCCATTAATAAAAACTTAGATTTTCAAATTTGAAATCAGCAAATTCTAATTAAGCAAGGTAAATAGTGTCTTTAACATAGACCATAGAAAGATTTTTTATTAATGAATAAACTAATGACCGGTTATGTAAGGTAGTTGAACTGAGTATGCAGTGTTGTGGAAAACTTCTTTCACATTCATTTGATACATATTAAACTTTTTAAAGATCTGTAAATCCTGAGTTTGAGCGCAAATTCGACGTTTAAAACTCCTACTTTGGGGGTGAATACGTTTTCAGAATTAGTTTTTTTAAATTATTAAATACCGACGACATAATATGTAAAAAAAGTTCTACAATAAACTGCAGACGTCGTGAATAGGAACATGTTGAGAAAATAAAAATTAATCTTATCATCGAAAATAAGTAATCTTGTTCAATTATTAGGTTCTATTTTCTCATTATTCTGGTTCCTCATTATTCACAAAGATCTTTGCAGATTTTCTAGAACTATTATTGAAAAGACGACATTTAAAGAATTTGAAGAAATCTGCGAAGAAATTCAAAGAAAATCAGAAATTCAATATAATAATGGAAACGAAATAATCGATTTTAGCACTGATTTATATTGACAAATTTCTTTTGAGAAATATGTTCATAACCATCTAATTAGATTACTGTATAATTTTTACTTTAATTTCCGTTGTCTAATTCTGAAAACGTATCCACCCCCAAAGTAGGAGTTTTGAACGTCGTATTTGCGCTCAAACTCAGGATTTTCAGATCTTTAAAAAGTTTATTATGTCTCAAATGAATCCGAAAGAAGTTTTCCACAACACTGCATACTCAGTTCAACTACCTTACATAGCCGGTCACTCCCTTTAAAGATAAATAAAGGAAATTAAAAATATCTAAATATTTATTAAATATATGGTTTTAATATCAAGGTTTACAGGGGAAGGATAACATAACACAGATATATTAAATAATAATCATAGAGTAATAAAACGAAGAGGTAAAGCTTACCTCAGATGTACACAACCGACCACCCTATTAATTAATTAATAGGGTGGTCGGTTGTGTACATCACAGTATGTTTACGTATCTAACACTGTACAGATTGTATATAGAGTGATCCTATTTTTTGGGGGTGGTAAAATGTAGATAATTGAATATTTGTATAGATTGTGGAAGACGATGTTTTGCGGCCTCCAAAACAGAGTTCCACAACAGAAGAAGAACGCGGGATTATCCTTATTCTCGTGTGATCAGTTTATAGTAGTTATATAAAGTTGCTGGATATAAAAAAATATATTGGAATACTTCTAACCTAGTTTCGATAGAGTCCGTCCTCTGACCTCTATATTGGTGACCCCGACGAAGAACATTCAGTGATTTTTTTTCCAGTACTCCGAACTTTATTTCTAACTTCGTGAAGATGACGGATGTACCGGCTGCCACACCCGCCTCGCAGTTCGTCGCAAAGTTAGCTGTCAAACTTCCAACTGCTCTAAATGCCACACAGGGACAAAAGCCTAGCTATCAAACAAGCTATAAGTCAATCCCAAATGATGGGGACAATCCGCTCTAAATGCCATACAGGGACACAAGCCTAGCTATCAAACAAGCTATATATCAATCACAAATGATGGGGACTATCCGAACTGTTTTATCAAAACAGGATTTCAGGATTACTGTCTTGCAGTAAACCAGTAAACAGTAAAGAGATACTCTATAAACTAACTTTATTAAAATATCTGACATCACAAGTTGACATAAATTGTCGTAATTTTAATTCCTACCTCCTTATTTATATCACATGATTAAGACAATCATATTACCCATCTACCGCTCAGTTAAAGTTTAATGTACATATTTATAAGATTAGCAAGAATAGATATTATCCATCTACCGCTCAGTTAAAGTTTAATGTACATATTTATAAGATTAGCAAGAATAGGTATTACCTAGTTAAGCTATCTCCACACATGTTAATAGCATAATTTAAGTATATTACATGATTTAATCTAATCATGCTTTGTATTCAATTGAAAAACAGATTCAATAAATATTGTCATTATGTATAAGTTTACAAACATAATTGTAAATTATGTATAAATACTGCAGGTTTACAGAATATCATGTGTACATGATATTTTCAACATATATAACTAAACTTGTTAATATTTGATATATATCTGGGTAATTGGAAGACCGCAATTAAAATTTATTTTTAAATTATCTTGATGTAATTGAAAAGACAGGGGTTGACAGTTTTTAATGAAAGATATTTCAGGTTTAAAAATATAATTATCTTAATAATATATAAGGATGGGCATGTTATATAATATTTTCAATCAATTCCTTTATAACTGGTTTAGTTATAATAACATAACGAACACATTCAAAGTAAAATTTAGTTTTTGAGATTTTTGGTTCTTTCTTTTCACTAGAAAGTTTTTTTACTGGACAAATTTCATTCAGTTGATAAAACGATACTTAATAGAAGGAACATGTAATTTTTTAACACAATTTCATGTAAAGTTAAAAACCAAAAAAATAGCTCTAAACAGGCGTTATTAAGGAAAGATTTCTTAAATTTTTTAAAAGTTAATAATTCTTTTATTTCATTGCAACAATTTGTAAATATTAATGTAAAATGACAAAAAAGACTTGCGATTGTAATTGTTAAATTTGTATCTTTTATGTAAGATTCTTGGTAAAGTTTTCTTATAGTTATTTGTATCTATTGCATTTGTTGTTTTTGTTTTAACTTAACATACTAACTAAACATTTGTACGCACAATAACATCCTTATCCACCTTTTTCCGCCACCAAGATGAGTCCGGGGCACGCTTTTGTCACGTGGCCGGAAAGAGCTCGTGCGCAAGTGCCAACTGTTTCTCCAGTTCCAGTTCAACTTCCACGTCGTCTTCCATCTTAAACACAACAAATCAATCATTCAATTTGATTTACAAGAAATCAACAAATCAATATTTATGTTGCGAAAAGAGTTTTATTTCATTTGTGATAATTTGTAATTTTGATGTTTAGAATAAATGTGTTGTAATTTTAACAGATTTGTTGTAAATTTTGTACTTTATTAATCTTGTTAATGTTGTTAAAATGTACAATAGCTTGTGATTAAGGTATTTTTACTTTATATAATCAATGTTAAAGGGAAAAGTTTAAGTTGTTCGCTAGAAAATTATTTTCATTCAAAAGTGCATCCCATAACAATTTATACAATTATTTAAATAAAAACTACATTTTTAACTTACCAGTAAATTATCTGAAATTTAAATTTAAAGTGTTCAAAAATATGTTTATTTTAAATTATTGAAGATTATTCTGTTCTGGTAGAAAATTGTAAAACCCTTCCTAAATCCAAATTTTGCATAAAATGCATTTAATATATGGGCAAAACGACCTTGATGCTTGTAAGTTTAAGTCCTGAATAGTAAAACTTGAAAAAGGTTTACTGACTCTTTATCTCAGAGAATGAGTATTGACAGAGTTGGCACGGGTGGACTTTTTAATATATTATGTTAACTTTTTAATCTGAGGTAAGTAATATATCGGAAATAAAGTTCCAATGGAAGATGAGGGCTAGTTTAAATTATACTTTAAATTAATAGGACCGCTATCGAACTATAATAGTTCTTGTAAATAAATATCAAGGAATAGAAAGCTAAGCATAGGGTAGTAAACAGTGATTGCCCAGACCCGGCCCTTTTGTGTTTGTTAGGATTTTTAGGTAAACAAACCATTTTCCCATTCTAAAATTTCTGTTGCAGGTTTTTGGGGAGACCTTTTAAAAGGAAAAAAATATTTAAAATGGATATTAATAGACAGCTAAGCATTAGAAGGGCGCATCCATGCCAACTCTGTATATATCACTTCTTTGTGCATCAAATAAACATGCTTTAAATCTATATAGGAAAACAAGACATTTGTATTTATATTCCCTCTGGCCGGCTAAACAGCTGGACCGAATGGGCTGAATTCTTTGTAGGGACTCTTTTATTTTCAAAATTTTTATTTTATTTCCATGGTTAACGCCGGGCCTTTCAGATTGTACAAAATAATTTATTAACCACGTTCTGTTTGAAAGTTTACAATCCTATTTAATAGATTATAACACCATGTCTCCAGATGCAATCATTTTATTCAACTTTTATTTCAATTTTATTTTATTTTATGTGTTGTCGAAAACTTGTGCAATATTCATTAAATGATGCGCACATGTCATGGCAAGCCTATTTCTTATTTGAGACTGAAATTTCCAGTAAATCTCGAATCTCTCGTTAACCCTATAAAGGCTGAGTGGTCTGAGTCTATGTATAGCCTTAGAGAATAGGCATAGGGTTGAAATGCATGTTCACAGCCCAATTTTTTCAAGGCCAGCTCATAGAAAAAAAATTAGACCGATAACTTTAATAGTTTGGGCGCTAGGGAGGGTTGAAAAAGTGCCAAAAAAAGGGTAACAAAAATGAAAAAAATATTTTTGTTTTGTTTTTAACAAATCTCAAAGTGTGACACATGTGTCTATAATCTATAAGCATTTTCAAGGGGTTTTAAAAAATGTAGTTCTTAGGTCTGTAGCTTTAGTCACAAAAAAGTTAGGGGCTATTATTTCACAGACCGGACTTTTTTCCACCCTGTACCATATCCTATGAGTTAAAAAACATTTTTTAAACATAAAATCTTTAAAATTACTATTCATAAGAGTCCTAGGACAAAGAAACTACAGGGGGCGCCAAACGCCCGCCCCCCCCCCCTCAGCCTGCTTAGGGCTAAAGAGTGAAAATTCTGATTTATAAAGGTTCTTTTAACCCTATTCCCGCTGGGGGGGGGGGGTCAAATTGATCCCCATCTTGTAGTTTTTTTTTCATAACTCAAAAAGTATTGGTCTGAGGCTGTTGAAATTTTCTGACTTTTCTTACATACCCAAAGCCCTCCCTTTAGGCCTAAAACCGGGCTTTAATACTAACTGCCTGAGTCCTCAGGCACACTGCCTGAATGACTGCTTTTGCCTGTAGCAAACTAAATCTTTGTTTTGACCCACTTTCGCTTGTCAGATTTTGATAAAATTTAGCTTTTTGGAAAGCCTATGACATAAGGAAACGGATTGCACAAGTTTTGCGAAAAAAAAATTGCAAATTTTTTGCAAACAACCTGTCAAAGGAAATTTGCACATTTTTAGTTTTTCTTGATTAAAAATCAGGTTATTTAAAATTTTGCAAAATTTTTTGCATATTTGAAATGGCATGGTCAAGGGCTTTTCAAAAATGTATAATTTGTCATTTTTTGGACAAATTTTTTTTGCAAACATTTTTACTATAAAACTGGATTTTGCGATAAAAAATTCAATTTTCGCAAATTTGCAAATTTTTTTGCAGATTCTAAAAGTAGAGCACAAGAGCTTTCTAATGATGTATCATTTGTCATATTTGGACATAAAACATGGGATTTTGAGGGGGGGGTCAAATTGACCCCCCCCCCAGCGTATCCTGGTTTTCAAGTACCCCAGCGGGGATAGGGTTAAAAGCGTTGTCTGATAAAGCATGAATGAGAAAGTTAATTCTGAAAGTTTATTACTTTACTTTATAACTTGCGCATTTCTGGTTCAGAACCAATATGGCGGAAATAATCAGAATGAAACACAAGAAAACAGTGAAGCGTTGTATCTTCCACATTATTGATCAGATACAGGTTTCAAGGGTACCGTTGTCATTCGGAAATGCACCTCTGTTGTTGAAGGATTACTTAAAATAACAACGAGGAGTTATATCAGTTTTCCTAGTCACAATTTTTTTCAAAATTTTACCTTAACTTATCTTTAGTTAATGGTTTTTTTAATTAAATGTCTAGCCTTTACGTTTTTTTTAACATTAAAGTTTTGACGATGAGAATTAAAAAACTACTAATTTAAGTCTTTTTACATTTCAATACTAAAATATAATTTATGACAATGTACAATGAGGTCATGAAATACAAGGAAGATAGTTTTGAGGTCCGTTTAAGACATTTAAAGTTTTCAAGACTTTTAGAGGTTACACAAAGTTTGATTTTGTTATATCATGCAACATTTTTCAAGCCGACAGTAAAGTCGTCTTCTGTTTTTGGTTTTGAAATAAAGATTTGGTTTATATCTTTGATCAGAGAAAAAAAGTCACATAAAGTAAAATAAGTTACCCTATTGAGAAAACAGTTTTGCATTGTTTGTAATAACTCAAATTTTTTTTGAGCACAAAAGTCCTTAAATGGCTCAAAGGGACCTACAATTTCTTTGTTTGCAAAGGGAATATCAACACAACTGAGTTTGTTTACATTACAATCCTACAATTGCAGTACACTTTCTAGTAAACAATAAAGGAGTTCCTGATGTATCTTCCTTGATTCAATTCGTAACTCTTAAACTCTGCTTTTTGAAAAGCTCTATTTTAACAAAATGCTCGAACTTTTCCTTTAAAAATCCAATTTTCAAAACAAATTAAATTCTAGAAAGGAAATGATTTGGCTTCGGGTCTTATTGAGTTTACTTGGCACACAAACAAAACATTGCTCAGCAAATTTTTGATTTGATAAATTAAATGGATTTGTATTATTAGCATTACACTTTTATACGTTATATTTTCTACACAAAACAATAAAACATTTTTGAAGTTAAAAAAACTTTTGTTACAAGGGAGGGGGTGGGGGGGGGCTAAAATAGTTTTGTATAATACAAATTATTCTGGTGTCAATCGTTTAGGTCTAAACCGTGTCTTTTATACTAACTGCCTGAGTCCTCAGGCAAACATCCTAAATGACTACTTTTTCCTGTGACAAAATAAATCTTTGTTTTGACCCACTGTCGATCATTGTCACATTTTGATAATTTTTTGTTTTTTAAAAAGCCTATTACATAAGTAAACGGATTGCACAAGTTTTACAAAGAAATTTATGCAAATTTCTTGCATACAACCCGCCAAAAGAAGTTTTCACATTTTTAGTTTTTCTTAATTACACATCAGGTTATTTAAAATTTTGCAAAAATTAGTAAAGTTGAATTATGCATACATGAAATGGCATGGTCAAGGGCATTTTAACAAACTTTTTTACAATATAATTGGATCTTGCATTTTGCAAAGGAATTAAGTCTTTGCCACAAACTCTGCTTTTCTAAACCCTATATCTTTGGATTCCAATGTCGTAGACCTTAGATATTTCAAACTATGAATTCTGTTAGATCAAATAATATAAGTTTGAAATATCAAAGATTTACGACATTAGGTTCCAAAGAAATAGGGATTATGAATTAAGAGTTTGTGACAGTTTGCTAATTTTTTAGCAGATTCTAAAAGTAGAGCATAAGAGCTTTCCAATGATGTATAATTGTCATATTTTTACATCAAACATGGGATTTTGAGAAGGGGTTAATTAACCCCCCCCCCCAGCGTATCCTGGTTTTCAAGTACCCCAGGCAGGGATATGGTTAATGCCAAGTTTTCTTTTCAAACATTCCAGCCTATCCTGCAACTGGATGGTGTGAGGCAACGCACTTGGAATGAATTCTGGCCATTTTTCGCCACTTTTTGTCTCACCAATCTAACAGTGTCCTAAGACTGTTTTTTTTTAAATAAAGTTTAATCCGTCAACAAACCTCAAAATCTCTTTCATCATCTTCATCAGCTATCAGCTAAATTATTTATTTGTTTAGGCTACTTACAACTACTATTATTATTCATTTGTTTATGAAACTTTTTCGTTAGTTTTTGGTTAGTTTCTTTCATATATCTTCTCTTTTGGGTTAAAATTTGGCATATTGAGAGAAGAGATATTGTTTCAAATAAAACATTTTGAAAATTTGAAAATTTCTCGGATTTTGTGGAAACGTTTAAAACTTTAAGACTCTAATAAACCTACAAAATATTGAAAAACCAAACCAAGTTTAATTTATATGCTTTACTTACAACTTATTTTGAAGTCTGGAGTAGTATCTATCTATCTAATACTTTTTATTGTGCATTGTTAGTTTTATTAACAAGAATTCTCTCTTGTACTCTTTAAAAGTTTTTTCTTCAAATTCTGAAGATTACAATTTTTAGAATTTTTAGAATACCTAAAATACAAATATCTTTTTAAAATCTTGTTTAATTAGATAAAGCATCAGATTAAACAAGAATTTAATTAAGATCTAAGTGTGTAAGCCCAATGCACATTGTGCACAATGTACATGCAAATATTAGATAGAATTTATATTATCTAATCCCTCGATGACAATATCCAGAATAAAGGGACTGTAGAAGTAATTTCAAGTGGGACCTTAATTCATAGAGTGTCATGTCCGATTCACCGATTCTGAACTTGACTCAAGACTCAATTAGATATCCTAGTGTTTCTGGATTAAAATTGACCTTTTCCTATTATGGGGTTTCTGTATAGAACTGGCGAACTGAAGAATTTAGAATGAAACATTGAAGGAAATTGCCAGAAAGTGATATATTTATAGATATATGCAAGGTGTCCCATATCATATTAGATCGTTAATCAGTCTAATCTATGTTTTTTTTTGGGACTAATAAGAAATATTAAGAAGAATATATCATTTCGTAAAATTAAATAAGGCTTATATAAATTTTTTCTTGCAGAAAATGTTAGGTTTTTCGAGTATTATGGGTTTATTTTGGCGTTGAAGCTTGGAGATAGTCTAATATGATATGGGACGCTCTGTATATATATAGAGAGTTTAAGGGTACCGTTGTGCATCTGACATGTTAATTTTAGGGTTACTTAAACTAACTTCAACAGTTCCTTTAAACAGTTTTCTATAACGCTAACTGTGTGCATCTCTACCCTATATTTAATCATCTACTTCTCTAACTTAGTAAACTAGTTAAACCACTGCACTTACTAATCAAAGATAAAATCAATTTTATGTGTCAACTCTTCTTTTCTTTTTTTGTCAAGTTCCATCATATCTTTGCCAACCAGACCCACCAGACGTTGCTTGGTTTCAAGCATTAATAGTTCAACACAGTGACTCAACAAGTTGTCTTCAAAATTAACCTTCAAAAAATTAAAATCGTCTAAATTAAAATCAGTAAATGTGGTTTCGTGGAGACTCATTTTTTAATCCTAAAATGTTTGATGTTCACCAAAAAAACTTATGAGTATCTAAAATTGTCTATTATTTGTACAAGGTACATTGCACAAGAGTTTCATTGACCATACATTTTCTCTCTTTGACAAAAAAAGCATTGTTTATTTGAGATTGATGAAAGCAAACAAGGCTGGTTGTAGAAAGAGTCATTATTTTTCTTCTACATAGATTGATATTTAAAAACAAAATCTAAGACGAAGAAAATGATAAGGAAAAATGGTAAAAGTTTGTGTTCATTGAGAAAATAGCCATAGGTTCAGTTTCCTGCGGAAATCAAATTGCAGCATGCAATCAATAGAGAAAAGTATTTACTAAACCTCTTGGAAAAATACTGCAGTCCTTATTGTATTTTACCTGCTTATGAGATTCCTCTAGATGCTTCATCAGAACTGCAACTACCACATTAACCAGAACAAACTGGGCCATAAGAACGAAGACGACAAAAAATAACGGTGCGAAATAACCGGATACGCAGCAATTGCGCAAACACTCCTCGCTAGGGTCGCATTCCTCGCGGAGTGTGTCTTTCATTATTCCGTTCCAATTGTCTCCTAAAACAAAACTTTTAATTAAGTTTTGACAAGAAAAAGTTTTAAAACACGTGACAACAACAAAATCAGCTTTATGGTTTAGTTTTCAGAGCTAAGAAAATTATTAAGGTAACAAATTCATCAAAATCCTAATGTATTTAATTTTTAAATTATAACTGTAAAAAATATGGTTTTTTAAAATCCTTTTAATTGTGTTTCAGAGAATATTCGTGTACATAAACAAACAGTTAATCTTGTTTGCACCTTATTTTACAATTAAAAGTAAAAACCATGTTTAATGAAGTAAAATTGGAAGTTTGTTTGTTATACTTTGGTTTGACTATTGAGTTTTCCCCAGAAATATGGCTCAAAATAAAACTGGTCCCAATCATTAGGAATTTTTACTTGGATGAAAAAAATGGTCAAAATTTTTACTTTTTTCCCCCCTGCACCGTCAAAATATTCAGTTATTTAACATTTCAATGTAGTTGTTTTGAGTTTTAGCTTATCATATTTTTAACAAAATCAACTTTCCAATTTTGAATGGCAAACCTATTTTTTCATTTATGTAGCTAATCATAATATTTGTCGTTTTCAACAACAGATTTGGAATCCAATGCAGTTTTTCACATTTCAAGCGTTTAGAATTCTTAAGCTATTTTATGAATGTAATATCTTGTTATCTTTAATAGATATGTTTTTTTAAGTTGAAAGGGTACAGCTAAGATTTATTAAGAAGTGTTTATCTGAAAAATATTTTTCTGGTTCTGATTAATTTGTTATCCAAAAAGTATGAAAATAACATCCTATTGTTAACATATTATTGAAGCTATAGCTCTCAATTGCGCACTATATTAATTGATTAACCATTATATTTTTTTTCTATACATTTTAACCTTTTTTGTACTTTGTAATTAATAACCATCTTACCCATTATTAAAGAAAACATTTTACATATTTTTCTGTGCTATACATTTTATAAGGAGTTCCTGTATTGTGCACATACGCTACATTTCAATACCAATTATACACAAGTAGTTCGGTTGACCCTATCCCTATTAGTTGTGTATATATATACCTGTAGCTATCCTGAATAAGGTTAAGAACGCCATCCCAAAAGATCTAAAATGAGCATGCTCTCCAAGTCCTTGGCATGGATAATTCTCATCACATTCTGAAATAAATGATATTTTATTTAAATTCATTTACACAATTACAGAAAAAATGTGTTAAAGCAAAATAGTCATTTTGGTTTGTGTTTTGTATATGTTTTTAAACTACATAGATATCAAGACACTTTACATCATGATTTCTAGGTTTATAAAAAACCAGGGAGAAATGAAACTGTATCACTAAAAAGTAGGACTGGAGGGTAGTTCCAGGGGAACCATCGTTCTTTCAAGGGAAAGAACGATTTAAAAAAAGTAGGAACACAACCCCCCTATGGGAAACAATCGTTCTTTCACGGGAACCAAAGGAACGAAACGAACGGAATAATTTCTAAGAAGTCAGAATACTAAAAAATTAAATTCGTTTAATTGCTCAGTGTTTGTACATGAGTCCCTAGGGAACATTTAGAAGATGTTTTCTATTTAGCTTAATCTGGTAATCTCAAGAGTATTTTTAAATGAATGCATAAAAAGAAAGTAGTGTAAAGGTTGGAAACTAGATCTACTCAAGAGAGAGAACACTGGATGTCTGAATATATATTTGTGTACAATGTGTATAGTAAAGTACAAAGAGGGAGTTGACAGGAACTGGTCAACTTCCACGTAAACATAAACAGGGATAAATATGATAAATATATATGAATAAACTGGTCCTCCACAGTCCTTCCCCCCAAGATCATCTAGGATACGAAAATGAGGCTGACTTGGCTTGCCTTGGAGGTTGAACTCTGCAGGGAAGTGTTGGACGTTTAACTGTTAGGCCTGAAGTTGGTGGAACAGATCTGGTTGATGGTTGAAGAGGTTTACCTTGTAACCTGGGACGACCTCTGGGTGGAGGCTGAGCTACTGAAACAGGATCAGTGTAGAACAGTGGTTTTAATCTGTCAATGGATACAGTGTCAATCTTTGTTCCTATCTGCAGCTTGAAAAACTTATCTCCAGGCTCAATAACCAAGTATGGTCCTCTGTATAGTGGAGTAAGTGGAGGAGAGGTTGCATCTTCTCTACAAAGAGGGAGTTGACAGGAACTGGTCAACTTCCACGTAAACATAAACAGGGATAAATATGATAAATATATATGAATAAACTGGTCCTCCACAGTAGAATATTTTTAAAGTTTTTTGAACAAACTTTTGGTGAGGAAAATGAAATACATTTGAAAAAAGAAGTAGGGCTAAATGAAGAACAGATTTAAACGTTTTTAAAAAAGTTGTTTGGTCTTTGAGGCGGTTTGAAAGATGTCTTTCACAAAATAATATCCGGGTTGCTTTGAGTTGCTTTGTTCTCTGAAAAAATTTGTTAAGGTCAGAGTAAAACATGTTTAAATAGGTTAAATATTTCATATTCTTGTGGGGCATCTTAACAGTCCCAAAAACCTTAATTGTTTAGAAATGGGTGTAGATTTGATCTTTATTTTTGTAAACAGTGGCAGACCGCAGTACACAGATAAATGTGGCACACAATTGCAAAGGAATTGAGTCTTTGCCACAAACTCAAATATTCTAATCCCTATATCTATTGAACCTGATGTTGTAGACTTTAATATTTGAAACTAAGATAATTTGATGCAACAAAATTCATAGTTTAAAATATCTAAGGTCTACGACATTGGGTTGCAGAGATATAGGAATTATAAAATTAGAGTTTGTGTCAAAGACTCAACTCCTTTCATTTTTTAATTCGCAGAGCTACAAAACCATAGATTAATTAAAATAACAGATATCATCTTTTCAAGATTTTAATGAAACTCGATAACCATGAGGCAGCAGCACAGAGGAGTTTTGCGTAGTCGGCGTAGAACAGGCTGTCTCTGTCTAGTAATTCTACGCTAACTGCGCAAAACTCTTCTGGGCTGCTTCCTGAGGGTTATATTGTAAACGAGTTTCATTGAAATCTTGAAAAGACGACATCTAGTGTCCTATCTTTTACTTTAATTAATCTATGTACAAAAAATTTCAGATGTTCGATGTTTAAAAATTGTTAAGTCGAAAAAACTGCAAATTTTCGAACAATTAATCCTATGGAGTTTGGAAGAAACCCTTGAAAACTAATAAAACAAATAAAAAAACAGGCCTTCAACTCAACACACATCAAGCATTTGCATCAAACAACAGCATTTCGGATAGCTTTAGCACTAGGTTTATCTTGCCAACACAATTAGTTTTTGGATATGAATTTTTTGGCCTAATTATAATATACTAACTGAAGTGCACGGCGTTGACTGTTAAATAAAGAAATTAAATATTTTTAGCCTATGTTACCCCTCTGGTACCCATGGGTTTCCTCAAAAATTTCAGCCCATTTGGTCCAGCCGTTTGGCATATAGACGCAACAGATAGAAGTAAGATTAGTAGCGATCAAAAGCACTTTTTTATCGCATTAAGCCTATACCCCCTTTCATTTTTCGCGAACACTCCCTTGAAACTGTTTATTTTCATCTGTAGGTTCTCTGCAAAAGTGAGAATGAAGAAATTCACTGATATTAACTCTTTTCAAATTAGAAAAATTTCAAGGTCGGTACTATTGTAGTTCGGAAATTGTCATATTTGCATAGAAGGGTCACTTAAAATTACGCTAACAGTCCCTTATAAAAAAAATAATAACCTGAGGAAGAGCTTGCATGACAGTATCCAACAGTGCTCTAATCCCTTTAGCCATCTTTAGAAGTTTAAGAACCCGAGCTATTCGTAGAACTCTCATCACACGGATAATAGTTGGATTAACAGGAAACACCTAAATCAAACTAAGTTTATTTTTTAAGGTTGCCATTAGGGTTTCCAACGCAAGTGGACTTTTCGAAAACAGTTGCGCGTAATTCCACGCAATTCCGCACAATTCCGCTCAATGGAATTCAGATTTGAAAACCCATCTACCCATTGATCCACATTATAATTTGAGCGTGTGTCCTTCATCAGTTTACCTCACCCTATGTATTCTAACAATTTTAACTCATTTTGGACAAAAAAAGCAATATTAAAACATTTGAAATTATTATTTTAAATAAATAAATGAACTAATAGGTCTAAGACAGTTAATTCCTCTCAAATGTGGTAGTTTTCTTTAAAATTATCAAACAATCAATATTTATTTCAGACAAAGATAATCTTGATGTGTTTTTACAATCAAAATACACTAATAAATATCGGCAAGTGTCAAAACATTGATGTCTAAAATTTACAATGGTGTAAACACTAAACACTAAGGGGGGGGGGGCCGGGGGGTGAGTTGTCCCACTGAGTTGTCTGGAATAATGCATGACACTGGCTATAGAACTTTGTCAAAGTTGTTTTAATGAAGTTATAGTTCTAACAATAACAACACACTTTGACACTGAATTCTGTCTAAAAACTTGCATTCAACTTAAAAACCTACAAAGTATTAATCCTTTGGTTGGGATTAGGGGTTTATCATATAGGGTTACCCTCAAAGGATGAGACTATAAAGACGACCTGAAACTCTTAAAATATCCAAAGTTAAATTAAGTGTTCTAGCTAAGTATAGTCTCATAATGGTTTATTAAATGATTTAAGAAAAACAAGAAACAATTTCAATTTTGCAGGGAATTGTCAACAGAAGAAAACAGATATTTTAAATTCCGTAGAATCATCTCTGAAGTCTCATCCTTAGTGGGTAACCCTGTGTTTGAATGAGCAAGCTGTTTAACTTTCTTGTTTTATAATCAATTTCAACATTGCAACCGTTTTTCGTAAATGTGTATCGAAATACAGGATGGTTGGTGAGTGATAATAAAATTTAATTATTAGAATAAAATTCTTACTTAACGGTGAACTAGGGTCAATTTGAATTCGAACTGGACCGAACCCTTGTACCGGACATGATGACGCGCAGCAAGTACCGGCCCGACCATCCTATTATGGCTGATGGCGCGGCCAGACTTTATGTAATACCCAACCTATTACAGGCGTATTTGACCTACCACACTAGCTTAGTTTAGTGTGCTAGGTCTAAGTTGTCTCTATGTTATACCAAATCGGTAATAGGGATATTCCATTTCACATATAAGTATAAAGGAACGTTTTCATCAAACTCAAACTTTTATATCCTAGCAACTTAATGTAATAAACCTTTGAATTTCCAATTATCAAAATATAATAACATTAGTTAGAAAGGTTTTACACAGAGTTTGATGTAAGTATTCAATTCCATTTAGTTTTTCTTATACAAAAGATTAAATAAAACTACTTTGTCATTTCTGGACTAAATGTTTTTCTTTTTACACAAGAAATAAATATTTAAGTGATATTTTTGTCTTGTTAGATGAATTTCTTTTATCTGAATTTTTTCTTTAAATGTAAAAATTTTGTTAATGATACAAGACTTAAAATATTTTAAGTAAAAATTAACTTGTGGATTCAAAATTTAATATAAAAACAGGTCCTCAAGTCGAATATTTTTCAGCAGGAGTTTTAAAAATGTTTTATCATTGATGCATCTTTTTTGTTTTAGTAACTTTACACATGAATGGTCCTCAATCAGAGAGTAATTTCTACTTTAAAATAAAATTTCTTTTGTCTTGAATCCCAAAATTTTGATATTGTCTAGGAAATTGACCATAATTTTGTAAATATCTATTTTTCAAATTAAATCATTCTCCAGGATCAAATAAGGAAAGCTTGAATTATCAGCAAAGATAAAGTAATTAAGAAATGATGGTTAATAGCAAGTTTTCAGTTCCTTTTAGAATAAGGTTTACTTTCCAATTTTTCTATGTTAAAAGTTAAAGTTCTCAAGGATACGATTTAAGATCTGAGATGTTTCATCAATTCCTGCTCATCATTTTATACATTTTAAATAGACAGAATCCATTTTTAGTATTCATTCTATTCTCACAGAAAATTAAGCTGTAAACGAAATCTCTTGATAAATTTCATCATGATATTTTAAAAGTGACAACAGCAACATTTTAAAGCCAACATTTTTATAATTGTGTTGATTTGTTATTAATGGTTTGATTTCCAAAACCGGCTAATTCATCCGTGAAGATGAAAGAAGATTAAATCCTTCTTGTCCTTCTTTTAATACCACACAATCCCCTTTTTTACATTTATCTTAGCTTAAACTTAACCCTTATTGAGCAGTTGGCAAACTTTTTACCAGAGCTTCAGAATTTTAAACAATGCAGGTTTTGCAAATACATGGTTAAACAAACACAATTTAGAAGTTTAGAGTTTTACCATGATCAATATTGGAATTATGGTAAACAGTGCACTTCCTCTGTCAGAAAGAAAACATAAGCAAATATCAAATAAGAGATTTAGGACTTCAGACTCTTTCATACTTAGAACTAAAAGCTGGATAAAACTAAAACTGTAATTTATTTAAATTTTTCTTTTTCAAACATTTTTTAATTAGCTGTTTTAAATAGCCAAGATAATACATTTGAAAAAATACAAAAAAAAATATTGCAAGAACTATAAAATGAAGAAAACATTTGATAAAGTTCCCAGTGAATTTGAACATTTAGTATGAAAAGGAATTGAGTTTTTGCCACAAACTCAAATCTTCTGATCCCAATAACTTTGCAACCTGATGGTGCAAACCTATGTAATTCAAACTTAGATTATTTTATCTATAAGTATTAATAGTTTGAAATATCTAAGGTCTACGATATTGGGTTACAAAGACATAGAGATTAGAAAATCAAAGTTTGTAGCAAAAACTCAACTCCTTTAGAAATGAATACTGGTGTTCACCCCTTCCCCCTATTTTTTCTTCTCTTAAAATCCACATTTTGGAAAATGCTCTTTTTACTAAATGGTTTTTTGGAAAAATTTTTAATATACAAATATTAATATCATTGTAATGGGTATTATTAAATGCCAAAATAATGTTGGCCAGGATTTAAATTTGTGTTTGTTTGTTAGAGATCAAAATAAAATTATTATAAACTATTACTTCTATTTAGATCGATTGAGTGATAACTTTATTACCCTAGCTACAACCGAAAATATTATGTATGAAATTTTGAATTTTAAATGTGAGGGTACTTTTTCCCCTGTTGTAGGGTGATACAGTTACACTACAACGAGAAATATTAGGTGTGATAAATTCCCTCAAAATTGAATAAAATGTGTATTTGAAAAATGTCATCTATACAATATAATATTTAGACATTACAGTTTTGACAGTTTTGACAATACCGCCATCCTTTGAGGACTGAAGAGGATATAAAATATATCGAAATTAATTCCAAACCCGAGTTTTTCTACCTGTGAGAGTAAACCCCTTTTTTTGCGAGTTTGGACAATTTACATTTAGACATTATACATTGGCACTGGTATAATTAGTGATAATATATACTACCTGTCCTTTCATTTCCTCAAGAACTATACCAACTACAGAGAGAAATACTATCCCTACATCCAGCTGGTTCCATCTTAAGTTAGCACAAACTTAGATTTCTAATGGCATTTTCTTTCTAATGTCACTGTTTAGAGTCAAACTTTGATCAGAACTATAAATGTTCTAAACTTAAATTGTTTTCAAAAATAAAGGTTGCAGGTTATAATCAATTTAATACAATTTGAACCATTTTACTTCTACTTTCATTATCTATCTACTTTTAGTAACAATTACAAGCTAAACCCAACTAATATGTTTTTAAGGACATTGTTTTTTTTAGTTTGTTTCAATTGCAAACACCCAAACTTACATATGTATTATGAAAAAATAATAGTTTAAGATTTTGCAGCTTTTTAGTTTTTCTTGGTGTACATTTTTGAATTAAAATTTAAATTCAGGAAATATTTTAACTTTGACGGATTTAAGGTTACTGCAAAGATTAATAACAATACAGATAGAACACTACAAGATTATAATGGAAGGAAAGTTATTTCAGAGGTGTATGCATACTTTTGTACTGCAGTGTACTGTCTCTGGGCGGTAATGTAAACACAAGATGGGATCCATTCACATAAAAAATCAATGAAATATTTTGGTCATAGGAAACTATTATGTGAAAATCAAAATTTTCGAAATTCAATGCTTTTATCCTCCTCGGATACTAAACAAACACTGATGCATATATTCTTGTTTAGAAATTCCGCCAAGGGAGAACTGGTTTCAATATGTACGCAAAGTATACGCAACTGCACACAACTTTCCTTGCATTATGACCTTAAATCGCTAGATGACCTCTTTTCAAGATTTAGCTGTTTTTGTTCACAATAACCCTGAGGCAGAAGCTGAAAGAATTTTTGCTCATGCTCTCTCTCTGTTTTGTCATTGAACGAAATACCCCAAACTCTTGAAAAGACGGCATGTAGTGTTCTATCTGTATCATATTAATATATGGGTGACTGTTTTATTTATATCTTTATACTCTGTATCTATTTCCTCTAATGCTTGAATTTTCATATCACCTGTCTGAAAGATATCTCTGTACACCTAGAGCTGAAACTTTCATAGCAGCCTCTAGTATGAAGATAGCTGTGAAGAAGTAATTGAACACTTTCAGTGCATATTCAAGTTCCTAGTCATTTAAGATATCAAACAAACTGGAAATTTTCTGTAAGTGACTCGTCATGAAAAGATGTCAATGCCCAATAAACAACAGTATCCCTGAAACCTTCGAAAGATCACTCAAGTAAGAGAACTCTCTTTGTTTTTTTTTATTTTAAATGATGTTTAAATTGTTATAAAACTGGAGAGTGTGAAATCAACACAACCATGAAATATTTTTATGATACTTTCAAATATTCAAAAGCGGTTTAAAAGTAGAATGTAAAATAGAAAGTAAATTCCTTTCTTTTAATAAACAGCTCATTATTTTTTGATTAATTATTAAGAATGCTAAGCCATTTATAGTCCCTTTAGAAGTGACTTTTTTGACAAATTGTTTTGTTAAATAATCTACAATTAGTTCAATCTAACTTTTATTAATTTCTACAAAAACATTGTGTACATTTAAAATTATATGTATTTGTTCACAGAAAATAATAGCTCTATACTTAATTATTCTTAACCCATTAATACCGACCAGCTCCCCTCAGCCCCTGTTGACAGAATTACATGAAATTTCAAGGACATCCTCCTAAGGGGTCTTTAATAAATTTATGTTTCCAAACTTTTTTGCTAAAATGTTAAAGAAAAAACTTTTTTCTGCGTCTTTATCGGCCCATTCAGATTCACCTATTATGGCATATGTCTATACAGTGCACCGTGTACAACTTAGAGTATATCAATGTCCAGAGTAAAGTTTACGGTGTGCAGTTTGAAATGTGCAGTGTAAAGAATTAAGTGTACAGTTTGCAATATACAGCAAGTGAAGTGAGCAGTATATACATATTGCAGTGTTCAGTGTTCAGATTGCAGTGTGAAGTGTGAAGTGTGTGCATTTTGAAGTGTGCAATTTTTCAGTTTGCAGTATACGTTGCACAGTGTACAATGCACATTTTTTAATATGTACAGTGTGAAATGTATAGTGTGCGGTGGTCAGTCTGCAGTGGTCAGTCTGCACTTACTTCAGAGTGTGCAGTTTGTATTAAGCAGTGTACATTGTTATATCTATTTGATGTACTTAGTTTGCAGTTTGAAGCTTGCAGTGTGCAATAGTGCGCAGTGTGCTGTTTTAGTGTAGCATTGTGTAGTTTGCAATGTATAGTGTACAGTTTACAGTGTACATTTACCGTACTCAGATTACTGTGTACAGTGTACAGTGTGCAGTAAGCAGTGTGCTGCGTGCAGTGATCAGTGTACAGTTTACAGTTTGAAGTGTGCGGCATACAGTGTGCAGTGTACAGCACACAGTGTGCAGTGCACTGTGCAATGTCAAGTGTCTAGTGTGCAGTGTACAGCATTCTTTGTTCAGTTTGCACTGTGCAGTGTGTAGTGTGCAGTGTGCAGTGTGCAGTGTGCAGTGTGCACTGTGCACTGTGCAGTGTGCAGTGTGTAGTGTGCAGTGTAAAGTGTGCAGTTTGCAGTGTGCAGTGTAAAGGGTGCAGTGTGCATTGTACTGTGTGCAGTGTGCAGTGTGCAGTGTACTGTGTAGAGTGTACGGTGTACAGTTTACAGTATACAGTTTACAATGTGAAATGTGCAGCATAAGTGTGCACTGCATTGTGCAAGTGTCAAATGAGCAGTATTCAGGGTAAAGTTTGGTGTGTGAAATGTTCAGTGAACAGTGTGCAGTGTACAGTGTACAGTGTACGGTATGAAGTGTGCAGCATACAGTGTACAGTGTTAAGTGTGCAGCATTGAGTGTACACTGTGAAGTGTGCAGTAAGTAGCATACAGTCTGCAGTGTTCAGCATATAGTATGCATTTTACAGTGTACAGTGAACAGTGTGCAGTGTACTGTATAGTGTGCAGTTTGAAGTGTACAGTGAATATTGTACAGTGTACAGTTTAAAGTTAGCAGTGTGTAGATAACAGTTGGCAGTGTTCAGTGTGCAGTGTGTAGTGTATAGTTGGCAGTGTCCAGTGTGGAGTGTACAGTGTGCAGTGTACAGTGTACAGTGCACAGTGTGCAGTGTGCAGTGTACAGTGTACAGTGTGCAGTGTTTAATGTATAGTTTGCAGTGTGCAGTGTACAGTGTACAGTGTGCAATGTGTAGTGTTTAGCTGGCAGTGTGCAGTGTACAGTGTGCAGTGTGCAGTGTACAGTGTGCAGTGTGCAGTGTACTGTGTAAAGTGTATACGGTGTGCTGTTTACAGTATACAGTTTACAATGTGAAATGTGCAGCTTAAGTGTGCACTGCATTGTGCAGTGTCAAATGAGCGGTATTCAGTGTAAAGTTTGCTGTGTGCAAGGTTCAGTGAACAGTGTGGAGTGTACAGTGTACAGTGTACGGTATGAAGTTTGCAGCATACAGTGTACAGTGTAAAGTGTGCAGCATTGAGTTTACATTTTGAAGTGTGCAGTATGTAGCGTACAGTCGGCAGTGTTCAGCATATAGCATGCATTTTACAGTGTACAGTGAACAGTGTGCAGTATACTGTATAGTGTGCAGTTTGGAGTGTACAGTGAGTATTGTACAGTGTACAGTTTAAAGTTAGCAGTGTGCAGATAACAATTGGCATTGTACAGTGTGTAGTGTGCAGTGTACAGTGTTCAGTGTGTGGTGTATAGTTTGCAGTGTGCAGTGTGCAGTGTGCAGTGTACAGTTTACAGTGTGTAGTGTATTGTGTATAGTGTATTGTTTGCAGTGTTCTGGGTGCAGTGTGCAGTGTGTAAAGGCACCGTAACAGGTAATTAGAGATGTGTGCCATAATTTGGGCTGGGCATGTTCCAACTTCTTTTTAGCCGTTTCATTAACATTTTGTTCCAACCGTAAAATAATAAAAATTTCAGTTAATCGTTAATGGCACAGCAGTTAATGGTATATTACAGTATTAACAGCGTTAACGGAGAAACAAATTTCATAACAGTTTATAAACACAGAAGAGGACATTAAAAAACATCAAAACACATACAAATTTTTAATTTAAAAAAAATGTAATGCAATTTTAATCAGAAAATAATAAAATTTAAAGTTTTTAGCTTTTTAGTTCACATTTTTAACAGTAAAAACTATTGGTTTTTGTCGTTCATTAAGGGACTCTTCCATTTAACAAAAAATATATATATTAAATGCTATAATTTATTTTACATAAGTTTTGATCAACAATTAAAAACATTTGGATGTGAGTTGAAGTTTCTTATAGGAACTGACATGCTTTCCTGGACGAAACTGAAAATATATTGATTCAGGTGCCGTCAGGGCCTGGCAGACAAAATTTGAAGCTGTGTTTATTTGCAGAAAAAAATATGAAAGGTCTAGCATAGATAGTTAGATAGTTGGTCAGGGGTTGAATTTATGTGCCGAAAACGATGCTCATGTCACTAATGGGTTAACAGTGTATGGTTCCCTGCATGAATTTCTTCGTAAAACCTATTCAAACTTTTCTTTGGAACTTTAAAGTGGTTTTATGGGAGGATACAAAGCTGGGTGTAATTAAATTTACATTGCTAAAGAATAAAGGACACATAATTCACTTAAATTGCAACTTCTACTTAGTTAAACAGAAAAGACTGTCAATATATTTATACAATATCATTATAGTTCAGGGGTGTACATTTAAAAACTTTTATGGTAGACTAACATTGTTATTTTCACATTAATTAGATAAAGGTTTCGAGGATACTGTTGTAAATGCATCTCTTTAATTTGAGGCTTGTAACAATGCCAATCTTTTTAATTCTTTTGTTTTATTTCTTTCTGGTTCTTAAAAAATGATGTTTTGGGGTTTGAAGCCAAATTGGAATACAAGTTTCAACAGAGTCATACATTTTTAGTAAAGATTGTTTTCATGGTATTTTGAAACATCATCCAGCTTTATTTCTACAATTTAATACTTTAACTAAAATTAAAGATAGCTTACCAAAGGCATCATGTAGAATTCCATAGCCATGGTGATAACATTGAGTCCAATAACTGCTGAGATGGCAAGATCAAAGTATTTTGATGTTACTATTTGATGTACCACTAGACGAGGTCTTGAATAGTCCATGTAGTATGGGCGCTCAAGCATCTCTGTGTAAAAACATTTATGTTGTACTGAAGTGTCATTGATAGTGTTAACAGTGTTTCCAGATTTTCTGCATCAATTCAGATTTTAAGAAGTTGTTTAATGATGACAATTTGTACATAAATCCTATTATTTATTCATTTCTTTTCAGATTTTGTTGACAATTTTGAAGCTTCCATTGATGTCCCAATTATCCAGATTAAAAACGGAAACTTGAATAAATAATTTTATCTAAAAAGCATAAGAAAATTGTAAGTTATATTTGCTGAATTATTTTTAAAACAACAATTGTAGTTTTTGCATGCAGAACTTTCAAACAATAGAAATGACTTTCAGAGAAAAACAAGTAGTTGATCTGGGACCAAATTTAATGAATTGAAGAGGTCGTTTAACTGCTACCGTTCCATCACTTGGTTCAAATCTTAAATCAATTAAATTAAATCTTTAAAATGCTGATTCAAATTTAAACCCAAAGCTCAAATTCATTAAATTCAGTCTTAGTATCTTGAAAGTTTTGAATATTATTCATGCATGAATTAGCAATTCAAGGTTTTAGCAAGAAGTCTTTATTAAATCAGAAATAAAACAATAACATGCTATGCAAAACTTCATTTAAGGCAAAATTCAAGACAACTCTATGATTAATATGACAATTTATTTAAAAGATAAATGTGTTAACAACCTAATTGTTTGGTTATTTAAACTCATCATCTTAAGTCTTGAACCAGATTTATAAAGGAAAAAATAGTAAATAAAAGTAGAAACAATTTGGAAGATTTTAATTTAGTTCAAAAAAAATGTCTTGTCCTGTTATGTTTTACAAATACAAGCTAAATGTACAATGAACAATGTACATGTTTTTTGTAATGAATGACCTATGCACATTAGCCAAGTACTTTAAATGTTTTGAAAGATTTAGAGAATATCTTTAATTATGGATAGACATAATTTATACTTTGCAGCAAGCCAATCATGAGTTATAAAAAGTCCTAATTTCCTTTGATCCACACTTAAACACAGTTTTAAAGAAGGAATTTTCAAATACATATGCTCTTATTACAAACAATGGTAAATGTGCTAAACTTGTTTCTCTTGTAGTTCTTTGAAGTATCTTCAAAGTATGTTTACAATCATGTGATGATAGAACATGTGAGAACAAAGAATTGAGAGCAGATTGATTTACCCAAAACTTAATCTTAATTGTCTTGAAATTTAACCTTTATTTTTGTGCCATGTTTAAAGATTGAATTTGAACCCCAACTTGTCACATTTTGTTCAAAATGATTGTGAAAAGTTCTTTGAATCTTTTAAATTACACCATAAAAAAATACCTATAATTGGTATAATTGACTACAAAAACATCATCATTAAATCTGTACTATTCATTGTTCCCAAGTCAATGTCCCAGCGTATCTGCAGTTTTTACACAGGCATAAAGCAATATGAAAGTTTAAGCTGTATTATAGTCTACATACCACCAGTGCCTGATAACTTTCCACCTTTTTCAATAAAATAAAATCATGAATGAATAAATCCAATGGTTATTAAAATGCAATCCAAAAAATGCTCAATTTAAATAAAAATACATAAGTAAAACATTAAATTCTTCATCTTTTGCTTATTCAGTTTTAAAAAATTTAAGGAATCCCTGAATGGATGTAGAAATATTGAGATGTAATTAAAATATAACATAAACATTTTTTTCAGAAAAATAAATCCCTTTTTCATCTTAATAACATAGAAACCATTTTTTTACCCGTATTTACTTCTTTAACAAAACATACTACCCTGCACCCCTGTCATCCAAAAGTAGATACATCTCTTTGTATCTTAATATTCATCCTATTTATGAATACTAGTTAAGAGAACAACAAGTAGGAATTGTATTTTATTTTATTTTATATATAAGTTTTATCAAAAGTGGGTTTTACCTATGGAAACTTTGAACACAACTAAATTTCATTATCATATTCATATTCATATTCATATCTGCCAAACTTATAGCATTTTGAATGTTAAGAAATGTAAATTTTCAGGTAACAAAATTTGTTGAAGCACTTGAGCCAAATTAGTTGTCTAACAAACTTTGACAAATGGGGCCCATGTGCTCCAACAAATTTTGTTAGATGAAAATTTGATATTTTCTCTGAATTAAATGATATAACTGAATTAACTTATTGAAATTTAATTTCCCCTTTTTTTAAGGGGTTTCTTTCTTAATTAATATTTAGAAAAACATGTCGGGTAAAATAACATGTTAAGTATTAATGCAAAAATATTTTTCTAACCTATTTAATCTACATAATTCTATTCAAAAATAAAAAAATAAAAACAGATTTAAAGTTTTGATGCTAAAATCTCTGTAAATTTTTTTAACAATATTTCAATATCAAACATTGAGCGTAGCAACAATCTTAATCAAAGTTTGAATCCTCACAGTGCTTTTGATTTCAAATATCTTCAAAGGTGAGGTGGAGTGAGGGTTAAAGTATTTCCACTGGCACATTATAATTTAGAATTTAAGCCTTTCACAAATATTTAAACTTATTGCAGTGCTCACTGTTTTGGTGAAGGGGATACACATTGAACAAGCATGGACACACATTTGGATAATGAATTTCATTAGGACACCATAAACAATATATTTGATCCCACACAATATGCTATGTCTCCAAAGAGTAAAGTGGAAAGAATGGGGAAATATTACTAGTTTCTACCCAATGTTACAATAAAACATTTTAGGTAAATTACATAAGCCAAATTTCTATCTTTGATAAATTTTCAGTCACTCCAAAATTTTGAAATTTTTGATTGAAAGAAATTTGGTGAAAAAAAATATGATTTGCGAAAAAATACCAAGGACATAGGTGAAACATATTGGAGAGGAATTAGCACTATTTAGCTATTTGGTAAACATCAAACTTCAATCCTTTTTCAGATTAAATTGGAGGCTAAAGAATCAATTCTACCAAAATCCTAAAAAATATTTCTAGAATCTGAAAATATTTGTTGGGTTAACTTGAACAGTAAAAAGAACATGATACAAACAGGTAGAGGGTCAAATTCTTCTCAACTTACTTCTTCGTCTTTCTTCAATCTTCTTTGCTCTCTTCGCTGCTCGTCTAGCTCTCTCCTCCTTTTCCTGCTCTGCTCGACACCTGGTTACAGTTGGCTACACTTTTCATAGTATTTGGGATTTTTAAGCATAATTTTCAGACATTCTTCAAGAATTTATAAACAATTCATATTATTTTCAATGATTTCTCCAAAAGAAATTGAGTCTTTGCCAGACATTTCTAATAATCTAATATAATTATTGGTATGAAATATCAAAGTTCTAATATTTGCTGAATGATATGCTTCTTTTTGACAAATATACTGAACTACATCAAAAGTATAAACTAAGTTTAAAAAAGCTGGCAGGTTTCTAGTGCAAAATTAATTTAATTATCTTGAGATATGTTAAGTTGATAACAAATTTTATAGTTTAGTGCAAAGGAGATGATAAAAGGAACATATATCAAAAATCCCTATATTTAGTTCTTAAAAAAGTGTTCTTCTCTTTCTCAGATTTCACTTAAAAATTATGTACAGCATTTTGGGGTATTTCAACAAGATGTAAATATCAGTAATCAATATAAGAGATAAATTATGATATACAGAAAAATTAACACTCCCTTGCAGTAGAGATTCAGTATGGACTTTTTACTTCAACATGACATTGCTACTTATATTTGTTTACAACAACAACATGACAAAATTCTGGTTTGTCCTCTATCAATCAGTCAACATTTGGGTTCACTTTGGATGGAATTATATAACGATCCAGATGGAATTATAAGGACCCCTTTATTCTTGGGGCATCTCTCTAGAATGATAACAGAGATGTTTACAGGGGGGGGGGGGCTGATATGGCTCAGACTCCCCTATACCTGCCCTAAATGAGAAGATGATATGGATGCCTACCTATGAAAGTTCTCTACAACTACCCCAACAAACATGTTGAGAACAAAGAACCCAACAAGAAGAAGAAATGAGATAAAGTAAACTAATCTCCACTCGTTATAGTTTCGCTTAGGCTAAAATAAAAAAAAACATGTTAATTAAAGCCCATTTAAAGGACTATAGTTAGAATTTAAAATGGCCCTAGCTCCCTGTAAAGAGGCTATGCCTGATGCAAAAATGAACCCTTAAAAGATTAAACCAATCAATAATTTGGAAGATATTGTTGTTTTTTCTAATTTAAAAAACTTCCACTTCCACATTTAGGGCTCACTTTATGGAGAAACCCCACATGAAAGTAATCTGTTTTTTAGAAAAGAAATCATTGATAAGGCAGTCATTCTTAACGGTATGAAAAGAACTTTGTTAGTCGTGAATTGGATCTACCACTCTATAAATTATTTGTCATTTGAAAGTACAACTATATCAGGCATATTAAGTACTATGAACCGTCACAAAAATGCAGCCTTTCATTTATTTAATATGATAATTGCAGCATTCTATTGAAAAGGGATCTGATCATTTTCTATATAAAAGTTCTGAAATTACCATTTTCTTTTTCAGCTTTTTATTTATTTGTAATACCCCAACATGAACTAAAAATAGAATGCCATAAAAGTCTGTGAATCAAACAAAAAAAAGAATAAATAGACAAATATTATACAATTTTTAAGTTTGAAATTGAATCTAATTTACATATTCCTTTCAGAGAAAAGAATTCATACATATGGAAAACTTTAACAAGTTATTTTCTTGAAACAAACAGTTTTGAGAAAAAATTAATTTTAAATAAGTTCAGTCACCATAGTACCTTTAGGCTTACAAATAAAGTAGAGTATTTATGTAATATGTTGGTAATGAGTAAAAAAGGTTACAAACAAAAAACAAATTTAAAACTCTTATCTTAAAAACAATTTTCTCTGAGTTAATTAAAACAATATCATTTTTATATGAATAAAGAAATGAAATAAAATGAAAACTTATTGATATATTTAGGAACAAATTTTAAAATACTTTTTTCAGTTTACTCATCCAAAAAAGGACATTTATTGGTTCTTATACCATTGTTGAAATATCTATACAATTGCGAACATTTTAATTTAAGAAATCAGAAAACAAAAACATATTGTAAAGATACCATATAAAATCATATTTCTTAAAAAAAATATAGGCATCTACAAAACTTTCTGATTATTTCATAAAACAGGGTTTTCTATAGTCAGGTTTATTACAATACTCTGTCTTAAGTTTCGGGCTCTGGGATCTCCCTATTTTAAAGTGGTTCTTTTTGTACTTTAATGGGTGAAAACTAGAAAACGGTTATACATTTAGAGAGTTTGTTTTACACTTGAAAACATTTCCGCAAATAAAGGTTTAGATAAACATACAGGGTGAGTCAAAAAAAAAGTGTGATTTGCGGTGCCTGGTGCAAAATTGTACTTTTTTGTGCAACTCTCCTGTATGGTGTTTTTTCAATATTTTTTGAAAATTTGTAATTTTTTTTAGTACTCTAATGGCCCAAAAAAAAATCCGCGAACCTTTTTTTCTCTCAAAATCAAAAATTCAGAAAAGCAAAAATGTGTATTTAAATTATTTCTATCAAAATCTAAAATTTTAAAAGGTTGAATCACAGAATCAAAGAAAATTCGCAAAATTGTAATAAGAAAATTCGCAATTTTTAGTTCTGGTCTAATTTTTAAGGAAAAGTTATTTAAATTCTCTAGTTCCTTTCTTCTTAGTATATTCTAAAGTATGAAACCTTAAGAACCATTGAAAACAATATTTCCGTAAAAAATATACCAGAACTAAAAATTGCGAATTTTCTAATTACAATTTTGCAAATTTTCTGAGATTCTGTGATTTAATCTTTTTAAAATTTTAGATTTCGATAAAAAACAATTTATTTACACATTTTTGTTTTTCTGAATTTTTGATTTTGAGAGAAAAAAGGTTCGCAGATTTTTTTTTGGGCCATTGAAGTACTAAAAAAACTACAAATTTTCAAAAAATATTGAAAAAACACCATACAGGAGAGTTGCACAAAAATGGGTACAATTTTGCACCAGGCGCCGCAAATCACACTTTTTTTGACTCACCCTGTACATAATTGCTTTTTCATAAGAATTTTTACAAAAAACTTGAATATTCCTAAAATAAATTTCAATATAATGTAAAACAAGTTTTACATATTATAATTTGTCCACCTCCAAAAAGATTTAGTAAATGGGGAAAACATACGAATATTCAAAATCAAAACAACCTTATTCAAAATTTGTTTGCACAATTTTGAGTCAAATTACCTGCATATCCACTCCTGTAGCATCAAGACCATGATACATTATATCCACCCAGCCATCCTAAACACATTATCATTGGCAATCATTTTTGAAACAATGTTTCACTTCAAACTAAAGTAAATTTACTATTATCAATCATAACACAAAGCTGCTTCTCTTTCTGAATACATAATTTGTTTCTAATTGAGCTTATATCAAAACTGGATGAATTACAAGGTCACAAAATTGTACCAGTATTTTCGTATAAATTTGACTTTTCTTTTAGTCTAAATGAAGTGGCTTGTGGGAAAATTTTGAATTCTGAACCCCTAAAAATAGAATATTAAGTAACTCCTCAAATTGCCAAATAAAAACCTTTTCAGTAAGGGGGACGATTCTGATTATAAAAAAGATGTGATGTTTTTGAAAAGGTCCACCTTCATAAAGAAAAAAAAAATATTTTAAGTGAAAGACTAAAACCACTATTAAAAAATACCTTAGATGAGAGAACAAAAAGTGACATCAAGGCATGCCCAAGATTATCAAAATTGTACTTCTGATTCAGCCATCGGTTCCCTACCAAATAATTTTTCAATATTTTATTGGTTCTACCAATCTTTAGACAATACAACTTTTTATAAATATGTATATACATTATATTATATTATATATTATATTATGAATGTCAGCAGTGTCTAGCATCTAGAAGCTAGTTATATTCGATATAAGAATATCAAATGCTAACGAGGTAGGTTGTCAACCAAAAACTCCAAATATTGAGAATCAGCAACGATTTCTTGCAGGAGACGCATATTTTAATCTAACACGAACTCATCAACTTTATATATGTAAAGTAGTATTCTCTGTTTGTCTGTATTGTTTGGATGTCTAATCATTCATAATGGACCCCATGACTGATTTATCTTAAATTTTGATTGGGGAACTCAGAATGTTCTTCTTGGTTTTCAGATTCTAAACTGAGTGGGTACACTTTTAAAGAAAAAAATATCTAAAACCGGATTCATGACCAAACCCGGGTAAACAGCGGGAGTAACAATGAGCATTGAGATCACTGGGTTTATGAAGTAGTAATCTCTGCTTAGTGGCTTTACAAATGTCTAATCAACTCATTAGACCCACGGTAATGTTCTTATCCCAGATTCACAATGGTACCCCTTAAACCTTGGACTAATGAAGGATTCACAATGGTGCCCCTTAAACCTTTAACTAATGAAGGATTCACAATGGTAACCTTTAAACCTTGGACTAATGAAGGATTCACAATGGTAACCTTTAAACCCTGGACTAATGAAGGATTCACAATGGTACCCCTTAAACCTTGGACTAAAGAAGGATTCACAATTGTTACCTTTAAACCTTAGACTAATGAAGGATTCACAATGGTAACCTTTAAACCTTGGACTAATGAAGGATTCACAATGGTAACCTTTAAACCTTGGACTAATGAAGCATTCACAATGGTAATCTTTAAACCTTGGATTAATGAAGGATTCACAATGGTAATCTTTAAACCTTGGACTGATGAAGGATGTCAGACATATTTATATTAATCTACTAAACGCTTCCGTAATAATTGCGTGCAATAAACTGCGCGCTATAGCGCCCAATTCCGTCCAATTTTCTTGCGTTTGTGTTTCAATTTTTAAATAATATTCAATTAAAACCTTATGGCACGCAATAAATGCAATTAATTATTGCGCAATTCTGTTCAAAAAAAAATTAAATTTGGTAGTGGCAAACAATAAACTGAACTTTACTTACATTTCAGTCTCAAAACCTGAATTTAAACATAATCTTATATTTCATGATATTCATATGCAGCATGATAACCAGAAACCTGAGGCATTGGAAGATAAAATTTTAGACTTAAGCAGATCAATTTAACTGAAATAGGGATCTAATAAGTTAATAATTAAATTTTTCTTTGTAACGACATCAAATACACTGCAATGTTGTCTTCCAATACCATCTGCAGAGTTCTCAGTGTAGCAAATTATCTGATTTTGATTAAACGAACCTTACAATTTTAACCAAAAAAAGTTTCCATTTCAATGTTGACCCAATGTTGACAAATAAAAAATGTATCAAATTAATTGTTAATTAGTAGATTAATCATAAGAAACTTTAAAATTTCAAAACTGTTTAAATTATCGACTTTTAGATGGAAAAGCAATTCCGTGGAACGCAATCCGCGCAATTCCGCGAATATCTAATTGCTTCCTTGTTCGCAATTATAGCGCAATTCCGCGCGATGAAATGGCGGAAGCGGAAGCGATCATTGTGGAAAAGAAATTTTTCTCATTTTCTCTCATTTTTTACCAAATATTTGTCAGCTTTGTTCGCCCAATCGCTCTTCTATTCTTATTATTGTTTATCAAAACAGATTTTTCTCATTTTCTTCTATTGAGTTTTCTCACAGAAAAATACTATAGGTTTGTATTGAAGGAATTAAAGGGACTGTAAGCATATTTCAAATGACCTATCATTTAAAGAAGAAGGCAGTACCGTTGTGAATCGGAGTATTGTCCTTTTTGCATGGAGGATCACTTGAAATTACGCTTACAGTCCCTTTAACAATCGTCACAAACTTAATTTTCCCACAACGATATCTTTGCTATCTGACGATTCAACCTTAAATATTTTAAACTTTAACTATTTTATCGAGTTTAGAATTAATATCAAAATATTTAAACATCAGGTTTCAAAACTATAGGGATTTGAAAATAAGATGTTGAGACGAGTTTTCAGTTATTTTTGATTGTTCCCAAATCCCTTGCACTTTATTCTGTTTTTAATGCGTTACTTTTCAAAAAAAACTTGGCTTTGATAAAGTTAGAAATTCTCAATTTTGCGGATGATACAGAATGAAGAATCTAAACTTATGAAATTAAAGCTTGCATCAATTGATCAATCTACATTTTGGAGGAGCAAAGTAGAATGAAAATACATATTCCCCTGATTCTGAACCATAATACACCGCAATAATGTTATGGGGTTTGAAGATGATATTTCCAGCGAGTCCTTTATTACTAATATATCCATGTTATTCTCTTTTTAAATAGATTATTTTCGATCGTAGTGCATCTCCATAAACCGACTTGTGAATTTATGCTTTAGTAAATTTAGTAAATGGAGGAAATCATAAAACATAAATCATTTCTTGACTTGAAAACGACTTTCCAATGTATTGATCAGATAAAGGTGTAAAGAGTACCGTTGTGAATTGGCCCGCTTGGAATAATAGTCCCCGATGTAATATATACCTTAAAGAGTTGAACTCCTAGAATGCCGAAGATGATGAAGAAAGTGCAACAGATGAGAACAATATTACCGATAGGTTTCAAGGAAGAGAGCAGGGTCTGAACAACCAGCTTCAAACCTGGGGCTCGGTTTATCACCCTAGAAATACAAGAATCTAAATAAAATGTGATCTAATTGCTATATATTTTCAACTTGATAGTGTAAACATTTTATATTTCAAACTTAGATTATTTGATCCAACAGAATTTATATTTATGGTAACTAGGGTTGCAAAGATATAGGGATTAGAAAATCAGAGTTCGTGGCAAACACTCAATTCCTTTCTTAAATAGTTACCTTAGAGGTCTAAGCGCTCTGACCAGCCTAAAGACCCTCAACATACCGAATATTTTGCTAGTTTTTCCAGCTATGACAGTTATTGCAGCATCTATTAGAGATATTAACACTAAGGTTCCATCCATTCTATTCCACCCAGAGGAGAAGTAGCTCTCCTCTCCATAAACAAGTCCTAGATATGAGAAATATTAGAAATCCTGCAACTTGAAACCTCGTCAAACTAAAGTAAAATGTACGTATAAGATCGAAACCTTACATGTTTTTATCATATAACTCCTCTTATAAAAGAGAAGAACATAAAAGTTTTGAATTCATATCATGTAACCAAATAATTTCTTTTTATATACTTCTGCGTAAAATCGGAACTAGAGGAGTAACGAGGTCACACAGTTGTACCAGTAATTTCAATTGAATTTAACCGTCTTAACCTCAAGCTTAGAAGCAAGTTTAATATAAACCCTGACAAGGCTGTCGCTTGCTTAGAATAAACCTAGTTATAGAACTATCCTGAAACACCCTAAACTATCGTTCTTTGGTGGGTACAACAGTAATTTGCAGTAAAATTACAGAAGAAATAATGTGTTTTAGTTGAGAGTGGTTACTTCACTTAAAATGTAAATAGACCCAGGGACTCCTCTTCTTTTTTATATTATCATTCTATTTATATACAATGGTCGGCGATTATATCAATACAATGATGACGAATTTGCATTTAAGTTTTAATTCTTAGCAAGCTTTCTTCGAATTACAAGTTTACAAGTAATTAAAGAGGATTTTAGTTGACAATTTCTCTTTGTTTCCATGTTTATGTGCATTTATATGGTTTAAAAGCTTGATATAAATCAAAATTTAAATCTAAAGTCTTCATTGTATTAATATAAGCGACGATGACTGTTATAATAATATACCTGCAGCTACTGCCTTTAGACCCATCTCGATAGCGAATACGACAGTAAATATATTGTTCAGTAGATCTAATATCATAATTAGTTATCTTTATCAACAATCAATATTGAAAAATAAATATATAGATAAATATTCTTCAATATTTATCTATATCCAGAGCTGAGAACTTTTGTATTAATGTGAATATCGAGATCAATGCTTGGTGTCGATCTTTTGTTAATCTACAGATTAATCTAATCTTCATTCGATATCTAGCACGGTAATCGTTTCCTGAAATTAAGAAATTAGTTTTGATCCTCAAATTAAAAATGTCCAAATTTGATATCGGGATCTGTGGATCAGGAGTATGGGTATCCAACACATTAGTTCCCAACTCAGGTATTCTGCAAGCATGGATAAAAAATATAAATAGACAGTCTGAAGTGTCCGGCATTACCAGTGGAAATAAAAAAAAATTAAATTTTAAAAAATCCAATTTTTGAGCAAAAAAAATTGAATTTTTTTAAGCCTATGTTAACCTTCGAGTACCCATGGGTTTCCTCAAAACATTTCACCCCATTCGGTCCAGTCGTTTGGCCGGATATAGCTGACATATATATATGAGCGAAGAGCTTTATTATATAGATATATATAGATATATAGATAAATAAATATAAAATTTATATATTCTCCAATATTTATCTGATATATCGATAGGTATTCTACATAGCATAGATAAATAAATAAAAAGATAAATTTTAACGGGGAAATGTTGGATAATTTGTTAATCTATGATACCCCCTAGAGACTACAAATTCCACGATGACTAATAAATATTAAGTAAAAAAAAAAAACAAGCAAGGTGAGAAGCTAAATAAAAAGTCTACAAAAGCTGAACCCAGGAACTTTGGGAACACATCACGGGTGTGAAATTAAAAGGGAACAAAATTAGCCATTACTCCTCCCCCTCCCCTCTTGAAAAAAGACACATAATTTTTAGGGTAAATATATATAACTCTGAAACGACAGAGTGCAAATGGAATCGAATTATACATCTACAATATTTATATTTAATACACATCTTATCCCATGAAGCTGTTAACCCCCCCCCCTCCGTTCAAAAAAAATTATTACGACAAATAAACCTGAACAATTGCATATCGTATTATATTTAACAGTATTATCTATACATGAATCTTCTAAAATAATTGTAATAAAAAGAAGAACAATTTCCCCTTAGCTTCTTTTTGATGCATATGTAAATGTTTGTCTTTGTTTCTTGTTAAAATTAACAGAAACCAAAGCTTAAATATTGAAGATCTTTATCATTATATTGATAAGAATGCCAACAGAAACATGGATTTATTATTTTCCACTCCCAACTCTGTTTACTAAAAAAATAAAGAATTGTTGTTTAAAGATAAAAATATTCCTAGAATACTTCTCTCCAAGGACCAAGGAGGTATGTTGGGTCTCTCCATAGCCAAGGTAATACAGTTGGCAGATATAAACACGAGGATAACAAAATCAAACCAACCCTACAATAAGGAGGCATAGTTGATCAGAAACATCTTAAAATTAAAAGCGTTATTATTTATTTTAAGCGTTCAACATTTAATCAATTCAAAAAAAATTAAACGTTGTCCTCCTTTTGATGTTTTTTTTTCTATTTTCTATAAATGGCATGAAACCGACTTTTAGTGCAAATGAAGATCTTTCTAAAGATTTTTAAATAAAGAAAAGTTATTAAACTTTATTTGGAGCTCAAGTACGATTGAAATCTTATATGTTTTAAAGGAATTGAGTTTTTGCCACAAACTCTGATTTTCTAAATTCAATATCGTTGCAACCCAATGTCGTAGACCTTTAATATTTCAAACTTTGAATTCTGTTAGATCAAATAATGTAAGTTTGAAATATCAAAGGTTTACATCATAAGGTTGCAAAGATATAGGTGTTACAAAAACTGAACATGTGGCAACGACACAAATCCTTATATCTACTCTTTCGGAAAGGGTTTTGAGAAGAACCAAAATGAATTGAATTTGTACAGTACTGTAGGATAAATTTGTACAGTACTGTAGGATAAATTTGTACAGTACTGTAGGATAAATTTGTACAGTACTGTAGGATAAATTTGTACAGTACTGTAGGATAACTTTGACCTTCTCCTCCTGACTTATAGTTTGCAGTGAACTGCAGTAGTTGATACCTTGATAACCGAATATGTTGATAACCGTATATGTTGATAACCGAATATGTTGATAACCGAATATGTTGATATACATACAGTGTGTACCATTTAATATGACTATTATGATATTTAATGTGAATTCTTTGTTAAAAATAGGTAAAATAAGAAACGATTAAAATTTTATTTTAAAGGGAGTGACCGCGTCAACATGGTAGTTGAACTGAGACTGCAGAATTGAAGAGACATTTTTTAGGATTCTCTTGAATTGAAACCCATATAGTACAGATGGGCATCGTTTTGAGGCCCGTTTTTAAAAATTTAAAGTATTTAGGCCTTTAAAAGCCTGCCCAAGAAACTGAGATGAAAATTCTATTTTGAAATTACATTATAGACAAGTTCGTTATTTTACAAAAAAAAATTTACTCTAATCAAAGATATTGACCAACACCATTTTTTGAAAAGGAAAGCGGAGAATGATTTTATTGATTTGTTCGAGAAAACAATTTGTTTAATATCTTGAATCATTAGAATTATCTTATTATTTGAAAGTTTGTGTGAAATTGCTTGTCAAATCATCCAGCTTGAAGTTTAAACTCGGAAGGAGATTCTTCTCAAATTTAAAAAGAGGGGAAGTGGGTAATAAAATCAAACTTGTCTAGCATGCAGTTTTGAAATAGGATTTGAATCTCACATTCCTGTGAAGCGTTCACCAAAAAACTTTGAATGTTTAAAAACTGGCCTCAATGAGGCCTTTCATTACCTGTACGACGTATATTTGGTGTAAAATTGTTCAGCAAGAGCGAAAATCTGATCTTTCAATCCTCCTTGTCGCCCGCCTAGCCTGCAGGGAGTTGGCTGGCATGCCAGCCATACAGTTAGTGGCGCGGCATGTCTGCTTTACATGCAGTGGTGCAGCATGTCTGCCCTACAGGTAGTGGCGCGGCATGTCTGCCCTACAGGTAGTGGCGCGTCATGTCTGCCCTACATGTAGTGGCGCGGCATGTCTGCCATACTGGTAGTGGCGCGGCATGTCTGCCCTACAGGTAGTGGCGCGGCATGTCTGCCCTAAGGTAGTAGCCCGGCATGTCTGCCCTACAGGTAGTGGCGTGGCATGTCTACACTACAGGTAGTGTCGCGGCATGTCAGCCCTACACGTATGTGGCGTGGCATGTCTGCCCTACAGGTAGTAGCGCGGCATGTCTGCCCTACAGGTAGTGGCGCATCATGTCCGCCCTACAGGTCGTGGCGCGGCATGTCTGCCCTACAGGTAGTGGCGGGGCATGTCTGCCCTGCAGGTGGTGGCATTGCAAACATGCCGCACCACCAACTGCAGGCGCGCCACTACCTACAGGGCAGGTGGGCGCCAAGGAGGATTTTAAAGATGGAATTTTCGCTCTCGCTGAACAATTTTACATCGTATAAACGTCATATAGGTCTCAAATGAATCCTACAGAATTTCTCTACAATACTGCACTCTGAGCTCGACTATCATGTTAATACGCGGTCACTCCCTTTAAAGAAGTTTTGATTACGGTATGAAACCTTTTTTCATTCAATATTTTATTTGATTATCTCTAAATTATAAAATTAAATGGAACACCCTGTATTTCCAGCAAAGCCTTAAATCTACCTTGGATGTAAGATCTTGACAGAACGTTCTAATCTTGTCTTCAGGTTTAAAAATATACAGGGAGTAGGCCTCACGGTCCTTCAGTACTTTCTGGATCCTAGATATTAAGAGCCACAATTTATTTACAAAGTAGATGTTTATAACATTACACTGCATTTTAGTCGTTTAAAATCCGACTTCTACATAAGTCACAGAGATTTAGACAACTCTAAAAATTAGCCATCAACGTTTTAGACAGCCTAGACTTTAAAGTGTAACACCACCTTGGCAGTTGGTTTTACCTTAACAACTTACTTATACTTTATTGTAGCATATTCATTTTAAAAATACAATACGATTGTCTAAGTCTAAGTGAAAATATAAATTCTTTACTTTTATTTTTTATTTTTTCTGAACGACATAATCGTTAACCAAAAGTATTGTTTGCTTTCAAAAATTTCGTTCATTCACAAAACGATGCCCATTTTTAACTGTAACAATTTGATATTTCAAAGTTAGGTTATTTGAACTAATAAAATTCATAGCTTGACACATCTAAGTTCTACAATATTGGGTTTCAAAGATGTGGGGTTTAGAAAATCAGAGTTTGTTACAAAGACTCATTTCCTCTGTATACCTGGCTAGAATGGTAGAATCCTGGAATCCTGGAGGGGGAGTGGGTGGAGTCCCAGCTAGATTATTATTTGTAAAATCTTTTACAAATCCTTTTTTACTCTTCTTCTTGTTCACAGACGAGTTATTTCTGAAAATTAACAAAAAATAGTGGGTTGCAACGAAACGAGGGAGGGAGGGCAAACTACGTCAAATCTATTATCTGAACCTCATTCTGATTCTAGAGGCAACCTTAAAGTGATCCTCCAGGTAAAAATGGCGATTCCCGATTTACAACGATACCCTTAAAAACCTTAAAGGGAATGAAAGGGGGTATTGGCTAAAACCTGAGAATCTCAGGATTGGATTGAGACATACGAGAGTTCTCTCTGATGTTCCTTTCTCGAGAAATTGATATAAAACTGTGTCAAAATTATACAAAACGTATATGTAAGATTCGTATAATATTCGTAGTATTAAACAGATCATATTCAAGTTTCAATAAATACGCAACAAATCTGAAAACAACGAAATCCCAGAGAAGTTTGAGAAACTCAAGTTTGCTCCTATTATTATTATTATTTGAAATTAATAATTACTTGAAGTTATGCTTACAGTTTTTTAATTTTTATACTTGCAAACATCTTTGAAAACTTTGGGCTGCTTGAAAACAAAGCTAAGGCTTTCTTCAAGGGTACACCAATTTTTTTATAATGTAAATAAGAAGAACAAATATAACAATTCAAAATATGTATTAAAGAGGAAGTCGGCTAACCCCCTGGTAATCTTTTAAATTACTTTCATTGCCTCGACCAACTGCAATTAAGGTTGCAGATATATTGCAGAACTTGTTTATAAATGCAGTAAAGTGCACCTTAAACTATCCTGAGAGCTTGAGCTAAGACAGTTGGAAGATTTGCGTCCAGAACCTCGAGATATTCGTCTAAATAATTATAAATTAGTATTATCAAAACCACAAGTTTTCTGTTGTCTCTAATTAAATACCTATATGGTCCTGTTGTCTCTGATTAATTACCTATGTGGTCCAGTTGTCTCTAATTAAATACCTATATGGTCCTGTTGTCTCTGATTAATTACCTATATGGTCCTGTTGTCTCTGATTAATTACCTATATGGTCATGTTGTCTACCTATATGGTCCTGTTGTCTCTGATTAATTACCTATATGGTCCTGTTGTCTCTGTTAAATTACCTATATGGTCCTGTTGTCTCTGATCAATTACTTATAAGGTCCTGTTGTCTCTGTTAAATTACCTTTATGGTCCTGTTGTCTCTGATTAATTACCTATAAGGCCCTGTTGTCTCTGAATCTATTCTGCTATGAGCTCGAAACTCCGCAAATGCAGGGTTTGTTTCAACTTCCTCTTTTTGCACAACCCTGTCCATAAATATTAATAGTTATTTATAGATAACTGAAAATATAATCATCAAAATAATGAAATCATTAAAGAATTATATACGGCGCCATTTAAAATTTTCCAACTTGAAAAAACCATTGCTCATTGACATATACAAACACAAAACAAACTTCAAAGGACAGCGCGACGCCAGAAAAAAAATCACAAAACCTCGCAATGCCCGATTTCAGACTGCAACCGATTTATTATTATTATTTATATTTATTTATTTAAACAAATTTAAACTACACCATTTATATAGGTATTTATATCTTTGTGTGTGAATAAATCTTTAATAAATAATAATAATCTTAACTAAATTTTATTTTTCCCATTTTATAAAAATGTCTTGAACCTGGTTTTTGCAAATCAATCCCAATTTCCAGGAAATTTAATTTCTGATGCTTCATATTAAAATTTAGCTTAAAACTAATTATACCGAATGACCACTGTTGAATGTTGATGCATCCTACTAATAACATTAATCAAAGTTTTTTTTTTTCTTGTCATTTAAGAGGTACTGGTGTAGTAAACAAGGTCTTGAAACTTATCTATCCAGGTACAATCCGTCCGCTATCAAACTTAACCAGGACTGCATCCCACGCTCTAAATCCCACATAGGGACACAAGCGTAGCTATCAAAATCCAGCTTCTAATAGAGTGTTCTACCAGGACAGAATGCCAGGCTCTAAATGCCACAAAAGGACACAAGTGTAGCTATCAAAAAGCTATATATAAATATCGATCCCAAATGAAAGGGATGATTCAATTTGATCAATGTCTCAATCAGGACACTATCCACACGACTACAATCCTGTGACTAATCAACGCCACTATACAGGTCACAATCTCATTAGCTACTGATGTCAATACAGACACTAGCAATGAATTGATAAGTGTTAACTTGGACACGATCCACACGGCTACATTCCAGTGACTAATCAAAACCACTATACAGGGAGGAATCTCGTTAGCTATCGATGTCAATACAGACACTAGCAATCAATAGATCAATACCAATACTCAAGGTATGATTTACACTTGTATGTTTCAACAAACCCAAATTACTTCTAATACCTTAATCAAAGCAGAGTCTCAATCAACTTACTTTATTTAATATATTATGTCACGTATTACGTATGTATGGCAAATTAAAATTTTAATATACATATTTAAAGGATTAGAGAGAATAGTTAATCTATCTCTGCACAATTTAGCGTAATTTAAGTATGTCGGATGATTTAAGCTAATCGTGTTAAGTATTCAACTAAAACGAAGTTTCAATGAATAATGTCATTATGTCTAAGTTTACAACGTACTGCAGTTTTAAAGAATATCATAATTCCATGATATTTGGTACAAATAATCCCTTTAGTTGGCGAAATGGCTGGACTGAATGAGCTGCATTTTTAGGGAACCCATGGGTGCCCCGGGGGTAACATAGGCAGAAAATTGTTTTTTTTTTTTAAATCCAAATTTTTCTCTTTTAAAATTCGATTTTAAAAAATTCCACAGGCAACGCCGGACCCTTCAGCTAGTTCGTAAGATAACAACAACTGTTACGAAGTATAAAAAGGTATAGATGATATCACAAAATTCCAATTAAAAAAAAAAAATATTTTAAAAATCTATTTAATATATCATGATTACCGTGCTGCCATTAGATCCTTCTTGTCCCCACAGTAAGTACAGGGCACAACTATAAAAAATAAACAAGTGTACTGCAGTGTACTGCATGATACAACAGTTTACTTCAATTTACCACAGTGCGCTGACTTGTAAAGCAAGTATATTGTAGTAAGGGGAAAAGTATCACAGGAATATATTGAGATGCATTAATGTACTGCAATATACTGTACTGTTCGGATGTTTACCTATTGTTGTTTCCATTCCAATCTCTAGTACACTGTTCATTAGATTCTCTCTCATACTCCTAATTAAACATTACGCCATGTTAATTGCATATCCATAGACTCGTTAATTGCATATCTATAGACCCTATAATTGCATATCTATAGACTCTATAATTGCATATCTCTAGACTCTATAATTGCATATCTATATACTCTATAATTGCATATCTCTAGACTCTATAATTGCATATCTATAGACTCTATAATTGCATATCTCTAGACTCTATAATTGCATATCTCTAGACTCTATAATTGCATATTTCTAGACTCTATAATTGCATATCTATAGACTCTATAATTGCATATCTCTAGGCTCTATAATTGCATATATCTATAGCTTTATAACTATCGAATTCAAGTTAGAGGTATAAAAGCTTACTTTGACATTTTAGGAGATCGTCTTGGTATCCCAGGTCTGCCACCTTCCTAAATATATGAAGAAATTAAAAAAAAAAAAATGATAAGTCTTGTTTGCTCTTATCTTGTCTACGCCATGTTATCAGCAATTGCGAAAAATTTTCCAGACACCTCCGAAAATATTCCAATTAAGCAACCCAAGCCGATGCAAATTTCATCCTAAAACCATAAATTGTAAAGATGCACAATTCTCTCGCTTAAAACCTACCGACTGTTAATAGTGAAAGCAATTAATGACTATAGACCGTTACCTCCTGAAGGAAAACGGAAACTTCATTCATTAACGAATGAAAAAAATAAAAGTTCAGTTCTTAATTAAAAACTATTTAATGAGACTGTCCGATTTGTTAATTTTTCTAACAGTTCATGAACATAATAAAAAAATCACTTGTCTAAATACACGAGACCAAGGTTCATGCATATAAAGGTATTCCTGCCTTTATCTAGACATTGTATTATATAAAGGGTTCACCGACAAAGGGTCAAACGACACTGGGTCAAACGACACTGGGTCAAACGACAAAGGGTAAAACGACATAGAGTCAAAAAATGCGACAAAGGGGCAAAATTTTTTTTAATTTTGACATCTGTTACAGTTAATATTTATTTATTATTATTTAGGGTTAGGTTAGGTTAAGACACTTGCTGGGCCGAGCGCTGCGGCTAGGACAGGCTAGGGGGCCGAGCGCTGAGGCCACGGGTTAGGTTAGTTAAGACACTTTCTGGGTCAAGCGCTGCGGCTAGGACAGGCTAGGGGGCCGAGCGCTGCGGCCACATGGTCAATTATATCCATCTCTAACATATAAGATCCATGTACAAAATTGATAGGAGGGTTGCGAGTTTCCTATGATTCAAATCAAAAAATATTTTTATCATTTTGTCCTTTTGTCGTTTGACCCTTTGTCGCACTTTTGACCCTTTGTTATTTGACCCTTTGTCGTTTGACCCTGAGTCGTTTGACCCTTTGTCGTTTGACCCTGTGTCGTTTGACCTTTTGTCGGTGAATCATTTATAGGTATTCTTGCCTTTATCTAAACATTGTATTATAATTGAGTAATTGTTGTTGATGAAATCCAATTATGCGTGCAACTTAATCTACAGCTGCAACTTAATCTACAGCTGCAACTTAATCTACAGCTGCAACTGGGACATTCCGACATCTAGTAAAGTTAAAGAGTAAAACTATTAGAAAAAGTAATGTTTGATGTTAATGTATACAGGTAATGTATACATTCTTAACAAGTAATCTGTTTTCTGTTTCATTCACCAACTCTTCAAGTTTTTAACAAAGCCGTGGAACAATTCTTTAAAAAGCATTACATAAAAATTCGAAACAAAAGATTCAATCCTTCTGTTCAATGCCAATTGCCTGATGAAAAAAAGTTTAGATGGATATATCTCTAAATTACAAATTATGAAAAATGTTAAGACTGCAAAATGTTTCAATTGTGAGGTTAATGCCCTCGCCTGCATAAATATTGTTGTGTGGATAGCACTGTGAATAAATGAGTATACTTTAGAACAAGCAACACAGGCATTTACAACTTTCAGTTTTCTATCAACACGTGTACATAGATCCAGACTGAGAAGAAAAATTGCATCAATTTTGAAGACTGGGTCGACTTTAGTCTTTGATCTTACCTTACTAACTCACTGATACTTTTTTGGAGCCCTACGCTTGTACAGTATAGAATATTAAAGCTATTTTTTTAATTTCGGATTTCAAGAAGTTATTGGCAAAATTCACATCGATTTTTGCGTGGAAATTTGCAACCTGTTATACAGAGTTCAGCTGAAAAAAAGAACAAATAAATTATAAGAACTAAAGCGTCTTAAAAACCTGATTTCAGAAAATCACTAAATCTTCCTATATAAACTGTTAATCTGTGTTGGTTTGTTTTATGACAGTGGGTCGCAAAGATAGGGATTAGAAAATCAGAGTTTGTGGCAAAGACTCAATAGTAAATCTTAAAATCCCTATCATGTTTGATTATAAAGTAGATCCTTGAGTATGGCCCAGTAAATCGACGAACAATATGATTTCATTAGTTGTCTTTTGTATCTTATTATCTATAGTTTAAGTACAATCTTAAAACTGAATACTTCTTTTGAGTCATTTCTTCATTGTCAGTAAATTGTGAGTAAAATCTCAAATCAAGTTCAATCTTTTATTAAGCCGACTATTACTATTTACACAAAAGTTTAACTCTCAAATGGAAAATAATGATATTCAATTTGTTGAATGTTTGAGTTTATAATTTCAAATTAGAGGAGCTGTGTGAATAAATCATTTACAGAATTTCAGACAAAAAAAATATGATTAAACAATAGGCAGACATATATTAGGAAAATATAATATGGCCTGCCATTAAAACTAGATGAAATGCTAAAACTAAATGAATCAAAAGTGTTTAAACAGAAAGAGGTTTGGTGATTTTTAGTTGTATATTTTTCTAACAATTTAGTAATAAAGATAATGTATTTCTTTAAAAATTAGCCAATATATATGAACTATTACTTTCCCCCTTTTAGCATAATTTAGAGCTTGCTCGTACCCCCCACCCAGCAACACTCTGCTCTGCAGCCACAAAAATCACCTCAAAGTTTCATGGTATCTCAATAAAATGTCAAAGCGATACATTTCACATTTTAAGATGACTGCGCTCAAAAATTAAATTTTCAAAATATTTTTTATAGCTTTTACTAATTTAAAATTAATTTTCAATAGATGCATTTTAAATAAAAAATAATAATAGAAATTACCGTCAGTTTAAAGATTGTTGAATTAATGGCCCAAACGTCTTCATGAATTCAAATTGATTACACTAAACGTAGCCCTATGGGCTGCAGTCAATCCTGAGTTAGGATGTGAGGTTTCTAGAAATGATAATAATGATGTTTACCTTGAATAAACTTTGTAGAGAAGTAGAACATTGTTTACAAAGTCGAGTACCAGGAGGCAGGATCCTTGAACCTTTTCTTAGAATCTGCTCTGAAAATAATTGCAATATAAAATCTTAGATCCCTTTATGAGAATATGCTCTAAAAGTGTATTCCTTTAGAATTCAGGAACCTGTGTAAGAATTTGCATTAGAAAATGATTTTGATAAAAAAAAAACATTTTTTTTAATGATCCGCTTTGAAGAAGGGATTTGAATAAAATCATTGATTCTTTTCAGATGATTTAATTAAATCCATGAATCTTTGTAAGGAAAAAGTAAAAAAAAATTGTTTTCTCCAAAATCTGATTTGTTTCTAAGTGTAGGCTGCACTGGAGGCAAAATGTAGATATCTGAATCCAAAATATGGATTAACAATTTAAACTGTATTCAAAAAATTTTAACCTGGATATTTCTTAGCAAATGTAATTTTCTTATGAAAATGAATATTTCGACCAAATGCAATTTAGGCAAATTTCCATTACCTAATGACAATTAAGTATGAATTACAATTAAGTAGGTAGTATATTGACCTTACTAGAAAAATCTGGAAACTTTTGAGAATTAAAATTAAATGTGAAAACTTGAATTCCATTGGAATCATTTTGTTGACTATTTAAAAGTTGTGTGAATTTATTATGCTATAGGTGGTGTTAAGTTAAAGAAGTTATATTCAGTTAAAAGTTCACCACTGTAGGACCCAGCTCAAAATTAAAGATGAGAATTTATATTGAATTCAAACTTGACACTCGTTGAATTGTTGAGTTGAAATTAAACAATTCTTCTAATTTAGCTGAAATTATAATCTAATTTAGTACCAAACTGCATGGAAATTATGTAAATGTCAAAGATGCAAGATTTAGAACTTTACTTTTAAGCTTGGGATTATTCGTTGGGCTTGAATATTACTATGCATCCAGCCAACCTTTTTAACACAATATTCGAATTTTCTTAACAATCTAGCATTTTGCTTTGAAAAAAGAATTTTTGTTCTGACGGGAATGACTACAAAACCCCAAACTTATAGAGTTGATTTTTTCAACTGATTTTTTTACAGTTTTATTTACAATTTTCATGAAAGATTGATACAAAAGTTTACTAAATTAATTTAACAGATTTGCAGTACTCCCTTCAACTGAAAATAAGTAATCTCAAATTATGATTTTACTGTCCAAGAGATTTACAAATTCACTGATTAGAATTATCCAAATTTAACACTTTCTAACTTAAAACACGATATCTTCCTCAGATAAAAGTTTACAAGGTTAATCGGACATTAAAATCTAAACAAAATTGGGGTTACTTAAAATTAAATTGTCAGTCTCTGATTTTCCAGTGAAAAATAACAATTCAGATCTGGGCAGGCGCAAGAAGGTCGTACATGGAACGATGTGCTTACTTTGACGAAGTTTCTCCTATAGCTGCAGTTTAGTTTTCTGTCCCTGAACTGGAACCGGTTCTAGACCTGGTCTGGAGTACATGGAACATATATGCTTACCTTTGATTAAGTTACTCTCAGCATATCTGAGTTTGCTGTCACTGAACTAGAACCGGTTCTAGACCTGGTCTGTAGTACATGTAACATATATGCTTACCTTTGATTAAGTTACTCTCAGCATATCTGAGTTTGCTGTCACTGAACTAGAACCGGTTCTAGACCTGGTCTGTAGTACATGTAACATATGTGCTTACCTTTGATTAAGTTACTCTCAGCATATCTAAGTTTGCTGTCGCTGAACTGGAACCGGTACTAGATCTGGTCTGAAGTACATGGAACATATGTGCTTACCTTTGATTAAGTTACTCTCAGCATATCTGAGTTTACTGTCACTGAACTGGAACCAGTACTAGATCTGGTCTGAAGTAAATGGAACATATGTGCTTACCTTTGATTAAGTTACTCTCAGCATATCTGAGTTTACTGTCACTGAACTGGAACCAGTACTAGATCTGGTCTGTAGTACATGCAACATATGTGCTTACCTTTGATTAAGTTACTCTCAGCATATCTGAGTTTACTGTCTTTGAACTAGAACTGGATCTAGACCTGGTCTGTAATACATGCAACATATGTGTTAACCTTTGATTAAGTTACTCTCAGAATATCTGAGTTTACTGTCTTTGAACTGGAACTGGTTCTAGACCTGGTCTGAAGTACATGGAACAACGAGCTTACATTTGACCAAGGGTGTAATGCAAGGAATGTTAATTGCGGTTGTGTATACTCTGCACAACATTGAAACCAGTTCTTTTTGGGCGGAATTTGTAAACAAGAATAGATGCATCAGTGTTCGTCTAGTATTCAAGGAAATTAAAAGCATTAAATTTTGATAATTTTGATAATTCACATAATAGTTTCCTATGACCAGAATATTTCATTGATTTTTTTATGTAAAAGATGGATCCCATGTCAGTCTTTGACATCCGTCTTGTGTTTACATTACCGCCCAGAGACAGTACACTGCAGTACAAAAGATCTGTACACTTCTGAAATAACATTCCTTGCATTAAATCCTTTCATTTGACAAAGTTATTCTTAGCGTAGTGAGTTTGCTGTCCCTTAACTAGAACCGGTTCTAGACCTGGTCTGAAGTACAAGGAACAAGTTGTTTACCTTTGACAGGATTACTCTTAGCGTAGTGAGTTTGCTGTCACTGAACTGGAACCGGTTCTAGATCTTGTCTGAAGTACATGGAACAACGTGTTTACCTTTGACGAGATTACTCTTAGCGTAGTGAGTTTGCTGTCACTGAACTGGAACCGGTTCTAGATCTGGTCTGAAGTACATGGGACAATTTGTTTACCTTTGACGAGATTACTCTTAGCGTAGTGAGTTTGCTGTCCTTGAACTGGAACCGGTTCTGCAGCTGACTCAAAGGAATCCATCCTTCCCTCATCTTTAGATTCAGAATTTCCTATCGAACTCTTTTTATCATCCTAGACAAATATTTGATATATGTATTTACTAACTATCTTTATAATCATTTACTGATTCTTAACATTTTTTGTTTTTGATTATTTGAAATTAATAGAAATATCTTGGTTGAAATTACGAATTATATTAATTTGTAAGATTTCCATAAAATTCTTTTCATAGTTTTAAACACACAGTTTGTACATATAAAATTTCTTTTCTTAGTTCAATATTAAAAGAACAAATTGAGCTTCATTTGGTTGTATCATACAGTCTTATCAATTATCAACTCTAAATTGTATTTTAAACCATTATCCAATCTTATTTTAGGTTTAATTTTTAGCCCCTGAAAAAGATCTGCTCTGTTACTGCTTGTAAAGTTGCTATTCACAAGAAAGAAAATCGGAAATGCACACAATTAAATAAAACATGCGTAAGTACTTAATTACAGATTTTTGTCACATAACGATTTTTCAGTTATGCATTAGTCCCTAATAATTCGTTGTTGGTTTTTTTTTTACTTACATGATCACATCCTGGTTTAAGTGTCTCAAATTTGAAAGAAGTTTATTTTAAAACGTTGTACGTTTAAAAGAAGTTTTCGTGAAGACACAGATGAATAAATGAAAAGACCATGTTTAAGTTAAAATAAACTCAAACCCCTGAAATGAGTTTGTCTAAATGCTAACAAAAATTAAAATGCTTATCATCTTAGTTCTCTTAATTTTTGGGTCATGCAGCATCTCATGAAAATAAATCTAAAATTGAGATAAGAACCACATTGTAACCTTTTATTGTTTCGCTAACGGCCACTTTATTATACATATTATCAAAATTATCTTAGAACTGAAAAGTTATGTTTTTCTTTCCAAAAAATATTGGTGATAACAATGCTTTTTTATTGTTTAATGTATTTCAGGAATAACATGACACTGGATATTAGTCTGTACCAAGGTTATAATGCAAGGAAAGCTATTTTAGAAATGTACGCATCTTTTGTACTGCAGTGTACTGTCTGTGGGCGGTAATGTAAACACAAGACGGATGTCACAGCCTGACATGGGATCCATCTTTCACATAAAAATCAATGAAATATTCTGGTCATAGGGAACTATTCAGTGAATTATCAAAATTTTCTAAATTAAATGCTAATTTATCCTCCTCGGATACTAAACGAACACTGATCAATATATTCTTGTATACAAATTCCGCCCAGAGAGAACTTATTCCAATATTGGTATACGCAACTGCAATCAACTTTCCTTGCATTATAACCTTGGACATATCTATACTCTACAGACAGTTTTAACTCAAATTAACATTCCCGTGGTTATCGTGCGTTCCCAATTAAAATTTTACGCAAATCGGTCCAGGGGTTTATGGTTATGAGTTATGGTCGGACATCCAAAAAGACAAAAAGAGATTACTACTTTATATGTATGGATAATATGGTAAACACCTTTCCTTAATTTAATGACTCCGAAAATATTCTACGTTTTTGTTTGTTTTCAAAATTCTGAGATAAATTGTGTTTACTACAGCATTGTATCAATCAAATTTTACAGAAAAGATCTATTACTTTTTTACTTATTATTGATAAGCAATAGAAATTATGAAATATCAGTCATCTATATATATATATATTTATATTTACTTTGCTTGTCTGTCAGGATGTTTTTATCCAAAAACGTCAAACCGGCTGAACTGGTCGAGTCCAAATTTGTGTGGGACCTCACATGATCGCAGGGCAGGTTTATATCTATATAGATGCTCAGAATTACAAAAATTGACTCCACAAGTTTTGATTTTCATAAATGTTGAATATCCACGTAACCAAAATTGTAAATCCGCAAAAATTTTAATTTTAGTTTCATGGAAGAGAAAGTACTGACAGATTGAGCTTCAATTAAAAGTTAAAATAGACGGATTCGTAGCGCCCTGATAGCCTATAAACTATGAATTTAAAATTTTTTGCCCATTTTGATGTCCAAATATGACAAATGATACATCATTGGAAATCTCTTGTGATCTACTTTTAGAATCTGCAAAAAATTTGCAAATTTGCAAAAATTGAATTTTTTTTCGCAAAATCCAGTTTTATAGTAAAAATGTTTGCAAAAAAATTTGTCCCAAAAATGAAAAATTATACATTTTTGAAAAGGCCTTAACCATGCCATTTCAAATATGCAAAAATGTTCGCAAAATTTTAAATAACCTAATTTTTAATCAAGAAAAACTAAAAATGTGCAAATTTCCTGTGACAAGTTGTTTGCAAAATATTTGCAATTTTTTTTCGCAAAACTTGTGCAATTCGTTTCCTTATGTCAAAGGCTTTCCAAAAAGCTAAATTTTATCAAAATCTGACAAGTGGAAGTGGGTCAAAACAAAGATTTAGTTTGTTACAGGAAAAAGCAGTCATTCAGGCAGTGTGCCTGAGGACTCAGGCAGT